CCCCCCCGTTATCCAGGGACTTAGGCTCCATCGATTTCGGATGAGGGTTGCTCGCTCTCTGGTTCTCGTTGAATTTATCTCCCTCTCCCTCTCGCGAGATATTAGCGCTCTGGTGGGTCGCGGGGGAGGGGGGGGGAAGGGCGAGGGGTCGAGACTCCCGCCGCCACCAGCCTACGGGCCCTTCTGAAACTCACCCACTTTTCCCTTGACTAGGGAAAGAGTACAAAGAGCCCCGGCTCTTCCAGGTCCTTCCACCCCGCCGCGATTCGTCCCAGTGCCGGCGACCTGCGAAATCACGAGAATCCTTGAAGATTCAGGCGAAGTCCCGCCGATCCGGTTTAAACGGCGAATGCAAAATTCGAGGACGACAGGGAATATCCATAATGCCCTTTCGACCGAATTTCCCTTTTCCTTTTTGTCGCACGCTGCTCTTTGCGGGACTTTTTTCTTCTTCTTTTCTCTTCACTTCGCGTCAATCCCAAGACCCTGTTTTCGTCAAGGGTAGCTACCCCCTTCCGTACGGCCTTCACCCTCCTTCCGGTTCGCCTGCACTGACTCTTATCGAAAACTCCCGTCCCGTACCTGGCGAATGTTACACATCAACTACACTGGTCCAGCTGAGGGATCGAATTTCTAACCGACCGCGAAATAACGATACGACACGTATCACGCGAAATTCCATCCCCGTTGGCTTTCAAACGTATATATATATGTATACTTGTCAAAGGGTAGTTATAGGGACGGTAACGCAATGGGAGGCCGGTTTTGTTTTTATGACAAAAAATTAAACCTTGGAAACATGGCACTTGGAGTTCTAACCTAAGCTTCTTAGCTTATCACAGATCGAGTGTCTGGCATGAAGAACCTTTTTTTTTTTAAAGTTCCCTGTGGGTGCCGCTTTATGGTCCCGACGATATGCCTTACGTATCAAGATGCTATCAGGCCTGACAGACACCAAGTGTCCTCGTAACTGCCAATACTCGGGAGAAAAAGTCCTGAGAAGTGCCCTTCTTCAAGAATATTTGTGTTATGTCTCTTGGCTTCGGTGAGAATCGCAATTAGGTCACGAATCACGTGCACTGTATATATATATATATATATATATATATATATATATATATAAGATACGATTCTTTGAAAAATATAACACAGAAAGAATCAAAGCTGTTCATCCCCTAATATTTTTTATGTTTTTAATCATCCCTCCTTTCCCCTCCCCAATCCTTGTCCAAACGAACCAGAACGGAATTGCATCGCTACCAAATATCACTAGGACTGACTTTGGGGTAGCCGGACGTAACCAGACGTCCTTCCTCCCAGGTCAAAGTTCATTTCCTGCCGAGTGGGATCCGTCAATCGAATTGCTACCGTTCGATTAGTGAACCCAGCGCAAGTGAGAGGGCAGGTCAGACGTTAGCGAGACATTTGGCCTCGTGGCTGCGGTAGTTGGCAACAGTGACGATCCTACTCGTAGTCAGCGTCCGGGCTAGAATCAACAGTTTGCTCTATCGATTGGCCATGGTCCACATACCCACATAGGTCGGTACCAACATAAATGCATTTGTATACATACGTATACATATGAAAACAGATATAGTATATGAATATATACTATCAGAAGATTTCTCCTCGGGATATTCCCAGCCTCCTCCTTTTGGTCCCTCGGTAGCACTGGCCCGTTCGAATGAGAAAGATTGAAACGCGTTAGTCAGCAAATGCCTGAGGTAGGGTTCAATCGAATTCTCTTTAAGGGTTGGCAACGTTCTGAAAAAAAAAGTGGCAATTTCAGGTCCACCCCTCTTCTCCTTACTCGTGGGAAATATTACTTTAAGCGAAAAAGCCACGCCGGCTTCCAGCCGTTACCCACGTACTTGAGTTAGCTATCCGTCTGGTTGGTATACTTGGATTAATCTATAGGGGATGAAACTGATACCGAGCACGGGGGATGATTATCTCGTTAACGACGTCCTAGTTCGGTCTAGCTTAAAGTTACACGCTTGGTACAGGCGTGCCTAAGCCCGACGCGAACCCCCGTGTAAAGCGGAATCCTTGGGTCATTAAATTGTTAGGGTAGTTTCGTAGGGCGCGGAAGGGTTGTCATAATTTTTCGGTGATTTAATTTTCTTCTATCCTCTGTACCTTACCTGGCCATTTTAACCGGAAATTGAATACGAGGAGACTACTGAGGCTGAGATAGGGGTTGATTACAGGGCCGGATCTTTTAACGTCACGTGTACTCCGCGACAGTCTGTAATATCGGGGAGGATTCAATATTTGGGAGATACTTAATTTCTCACTGGGCCCACCTGCTCCAGTTTTGTACTTTATTACGTCACGGGAGGAACACCTTAATTCGGAATGTTCTTCGGCTGAAGTGCAAGAAATAAAATTTAATCAAACTTCATTATCCGAGATAAGTTCTTATCGTTGCATGTTTATCTGCGTGGGTACCTTTATTTGCGGTTGGAAGAATATTAAATATGCACGGGGTGTACGAAGACGAACAGTAATTTCCGGGAGATATGGAAATTTGAGAAGAAATGTTTTAAATAAGGGATGAAAGAGGGAGTCGGTATATGACACGAATACATTTCGGGAATTAAATAATTTTATTGGGATTGGCAGAACATTCACCTGTAAAATCGGATTTTTTTTGAACCCCCTCCTCTCCCCCCAGTCTTCAGTCAGTCCGAAAAAAGACCCTTACGAGAATCGATAAGAGCGAGAAATTATCTTTTTGTAAATTCAATAGCGCGCGTTAAAGTTTCGTCTTGAGGAATTGCGAAAAAAAAAAAGCAAAATTTCTTTACCCGTAAGTCTCGCGCAATAAACTATCGATCTATAGAACAAAGATATTTTTTTCTTCTCTATGCGCCGTTAAATAAAAGACAAAATAAAATTTCCTCCCTTTTCTTCGCGACGTAGGGTTATCGGAATACAGTAAATCCCCCGAATACGCATTTGGCGAAAGCTTAAGGTGTCGCTCGCGCGAAATTACAATTTCTCCATGTAAAGTCGCGGAACGTCGCGGTACGTATAAATTTAAGGGTACGTCGAAGTGCCTGAGTGGCTTTACTTCGTAATAACAGCCGAATATATTCCAAATACGGATAATAGGAAAACGGGCGGGGGGTGGCGCGTGGAGGAGTTACGGGAGGGCCGAAGGGGTAGCTCGTCGAGCATGGAAACTAAACCTACTAGAAAGGAGTGGAATAACGAAAGGCCAGAGGGAGTGGGTATGGACCCTTCAAAAATTGTGAAAATCGATGAGGGATGCTCTGATTCGGACTGAGAGGGGGTGAAAGAAAAAGAAGAAAAAAAGACAAGTCCCACTCTCTTTCTCATCAAGCAAATTGAAAAGCGTTTGACGCACTGATAAAGCTTTGGAATTTCTATAAACACCCCCCCCTCTTTCGTCCTTGTATCATCCCCCGACTCCATCCGTCCATCCACATCGGCACCCCCTGTACTTGTACACAAATTTCATCGACGCAACGTACGCCATTTTGAACTTGACAATTTTATCATCCCTTACGATAAACCTCCCACATAATTTCCCGACGATTTATATCTATACTTCGATAGCATTCCCTTTTGCAATTGTCATTGTATTTTTTTTTTATCGTTCCTCCATCCTCCGCCACTCTTCCCTCCCCCCCCCTCTCCCACGCCCCCCTTCACCGGTAACACCGAATAATACCCCAAAATAAAAATTTTGATGTTGCATTAAGGAATGAAAACAAGGATACCGGTTTTTTTTTTCCATCCTATAAAACGTCAGGAGGCGGCTCCGGGCAGCCCGGATTTCCTCCGGGTTATCCTACAGGAAAATCTTCGCTCCACGATCATCGGTCGATCTGTCTAAGGGTGGCGTGTCTAAGGGTAGTTTCCAGACACAATTGGCAAAGTAGAGCTTTGCCTTGGATCTATACGGTTGGGTGTAAGAATGCTTACTCACCCCCTCAATCCAAGATCACTGGTGACCTTTGACTTGTTGCTCTTTTATATACCTTTTTTCGTCTCATTCCCCTTTCGCCCCCCCCCCCCTCGTGTAACAAAGTAGGTCACGCACCTCTAAGTCAACGAGAGTCTCAGAAGTCAGCCTTATTATCAGAATTACAACTTCATGAGGAATAAAAATAGCGCAACGTATATTTTTTTTCTAATAGCGTGGATCACGTATTACAACCCTTACAGGATACATCCCCTAACCTGAAATATATTATAGGCAATTCATGGACGCGTTCGAACATTAAAAAAGAAGCAACCTCTAACGAATTAAATATCCATTCACAAAAGCAACCCTTATTATATCGCGCATGATAAGGCTCTCACGAAAAAAATATAAAAAGCTCAATTCCGTGGCTCACCTCCGAATTCTCCAGTCGTGCACAAATACCTGAATATAAAGCAGAGGCAAGTGAAACTTTGCATCGACGCGAAGTTGATATCGAGAGATCGATATAATCCGTGTATAAAAAAAAAATTATGCCTTTCCAAGGCAACGTAAATCGTCCGGAGGGTCGCGTCGGGAGCTGTCAGTAAAGTACGTGAAAGGTTGTTCGACGTTTCGTGAAAACGTTGTATCGGTATTCGTGAAATTAAAAAAAAAAAGAATATACTACAGACATGTCCTTCCTTCCTTTCCTTATGGCTGACTCCTCCAATGAGGAGATGTGCCAGATTACAGACATGTCACGTATACAGGGAGCACGTGCATACACATTAAACCACGGAATATATATAAAGCGATAGAAGGCGAACGTCGGTATGACAAGCAAGATACATACGGATATAAAGAGTCCGGTCGGTAAAACAGAGAGGAAGGTGCGAGCTGCGCGCGCAACTCGAGCAAGACCCGCAGTAGTCCAGGTATGATCCCGGCTGTGTCTATTTATACGGACTGGGTGGGAACGCGGCTACCTGTTGGGTCTGCCGCTCTAGGTATAACCCGGCTCAAAGCAGCCTCCAGCAGTTATCGCTTGACATAAAAGTAGGTCACCCGTCGAAACTAGGTCAACACGGCGCAACCCTCACAGCACTATATACCTTGGTAAGCGTCCACGTACGAGTTATCGTACAATACACACACTCCGTCAGGAGTAGATCAGAATCCTCTGGCACTGTCAAACCCCCCCCCCGCCCCCCTATAAGCATCCACCCCCTTTACTTTAATCCTGACTTTGCTCACTTGCCGTCAACCCAGCTCTCGCAGCCCAGGTCCGTCGAGGTTTCCACGCTTTGGCCAACCCTGCGGCGCAATCAACCCTCTTTGGAATTATCCCGAAAATATGTAACTCCGACGAAAAGCTAAGTGAGAGACCAGGGTACCTTGGCTCGGTAAATATTTACTATGGGGTTTATTGTGGAATTAAGATCGGCCGACATCGGTTACGGAGAGTGAACGGTTTTCTGAGTGCTGGTGTTGCTCGTTGTGGGTCTATGGTTATCCTGTCATAGAGTGTACATATATATCTACAAGGGGTGCGGCGTTCGTAGTATGAATGTCAGCGGTACAGTACGGTACATAAATTTTGCATATAGGGGATGAAAACGTGAAATGGGGCTTATGTATAATGTAAGCAAAGCTTGTCGATTCTCTAAGATAGCTTGACGTGAGAGACATACCGGTTAGGAAGTTGCCGTACGATACGAAGTTGGCTTCTAAGTAAAGTGACAGCGCGGTGAGGTTGAGGACGCCATAGAAATAGAACTGATATTGTCTATTTGTCCTTGAAGCGAGGCCACCGAGAGACTTCCTGCCGCGTGGCTGCCAGCCGGGCGTCAGCGGAGTCAGTATGAAAGGAGATGAAAATGGATGAGGGACGCCGGGAGAAACATTGGTCTTTGGACTGGGAAAACCGGAAGAACTTTTCCTAGTTCGGATACGACAGCCACCATTTTATCGTGCCTCCATTACAGTAAGCGATTCTTGTACACCCTGCGACGAAGCATCATGCTGAGGAAACTCAGCCAGCATCCACCCCCGGAGTTTAACAGGCAACCCAGAAATCGGTGCTGATAGGATATATGTGTGTGTGTGTGTATATATATATATATAGCGAGAGGAAGGAGGTGTGATTAAGCTCCGTAGAAATGGGGGGAGGTTGGGAGAAAGGTCAATAAATAAAGGATCGACTTGATTTTAAGGGATGAAAAGATCCAAGGATGTTATTGCAGCCTAAAATATTTTCTATTATCCCATCATCCGCCCACCCACCACCCTGCTGGAATATTAAAAATTTTTTTCATCTTTGATAAAGATTTTAAGGTATACTTTGAATATCTTACGTGTATATATATTTTAGTCCCTCGAACCCTTGCCCATCAACCCTTAAAACCATACCGAATCTCAGGCTTCCTGCCTTATCCTCTTATTTGAAGTCTAATCCGACGAAGGGGAATTGGTACGAAGTCGGGGTTCTGGATGGAAGGACAAGGGATGCTGGATATTTGAGATATGCATCCCCAACTCAAATCTTCCCCGATAAAGCAACCGTCCTTCGAATAATTTTCCGACATTCACCCAGACACACCCTTCGGATGGCTTATTAGGGATCCTTTTTTAATCCTGGTTCCGCCACGGGAGGCTCAGGTGATCCATAAGGATGTCATTTTATTCGGAGAGCTCACGGATTGGTTTTACATAAGAGACATCTGGATATATCGGAAAATCAACGCAGGATCTTTAGTCACGTATAGGTGCCAGGTATGGTATATCTATGTCCTCCATTTATGACTGATAAGAGAGTTACAAAATCCAATAGAAATAATGATCCACGCTTTAACGATAATCTTATTGTGTATTGAATTTCAGGTCTCTTTAATGGCCGACCTGGTCCTGGCTGAATCCTATTCCGATCTAACCTAACCCAATTACCTAAACAAGAACTACGTAATTGTTAAGAAGCAAAGAGGATTCGATGGGATCACCAGAGTCTTCGAACTTCCTCGTTCAGGGGCATGAGGGGGTAGAACAGGGTGACTAATCACGTCATGAGCGTTCAATAATTCCATTATTAAATTTTGCTTCTCTACGTCCCACTTCCTCGACCCGCGAAGGTCTCCTTTCATCCCCTTTGACAATCAATTCTTTTCTCCTGGTCTTTGGCACGAAAGGAAAAAACATAACCTCTAAAAGTTATCGTAACATTTTCACTCCAACTGCCATTTAAAACTCCGCATGACAAGTGCACGGCGTACCAAGGACGTCGCGACGCTTTTTCGCAATTGAAAGACTTAACGGCTCTATACTTGTCATTTGAGTTTTAAGTTATGCAATTAAAGAGTTATAGATTTGAGACACGTTCTGCACTTATTAAATATAACGGTCATCGTGCGCTCCTTTTTTTTTCATAGGTCATTAACTTGTAAGATGTCTTTGGATAATTATCTTTCGTCTCTTTGGTATGCGTCTACTCATCTTCCTTTTTATTCATCTTCTGCAGTCAAACTTTCGTGATTTCTTCGTTTTTCAATTCTGTGGATAAAAGTCAGAATCATAACCAAGTACACGTATAGAAATAGCCAAAGCTTTTCTCCCAATAAAGTCTGCAATTTAAAAAAGTGCTGTCACGCGCCATTAACCACTCAGCAAAGAGATGACCTGGACATAGAGTCAGGTCCCACCCTCTACATCCCGTCAACCGCACGAACCACGACATCGTCTAATCAAGCCAACGAAATAATTGGTCCCAAAAAAAAGTTCAAGGGATAAAAAAGAGCAGAAGTAATATTCAGCCATACCTCGTGTGTATATATATATCAAAATCTAATTAAATACATCTACACTACATTAAACTCAGGTTCCATTAGGTTCTTTGTTCTTAAATAAATTTTCAAAGTCTTCTAAAGAAAAGAAAGTTTAATTTAAAATATTAATTCAAATACTTACATGAAATTAATTCAATAACCTTCCATCCGATACGTCTATTGAATATCGACAAGCATCGAATGCCGTGCAAAAGAATTTACACTTGCAACAGGTGTCAAGCCCCGACATCTTAGCTAGAGAAGCTACTAGCCTAGCAGCCAACCCAAACGAACCAGACAAGCCCGCCACGTATACCAACCTCTAGAGACCTCAAGCCCAGCTGACAGAGTTTAACGGCAGTAGATAATAGAAGCAAGTTACCGGATTTCACGTATAATTTTGCTAAAGTAATGCCAGTGAGGAGAATCCGTGCAGCAAGAAGTAGTGAAGAAGATAGCAGCAGTTTCTCCGGATAGAATTATCCTCAGCCAAAAAAGGTATTTTTGGCCAGTGATAAAGCCGATCGCTCTTTTTCCATACAAACTTGTGGTCTGCGTAACGAGAAGGAATAATCTGATTTCTACCTTCTTCTGTCATATTCCATTAACTCTCTTTCCTCCCTACGAAATCGACACACTCTAGGTTAGGAATCCTTAACGCGACTTCTTTTCAAACACGATTTCCTACACTCCGTACACGTTGACAGGTTAGGTTATGCTCGCTCAGCAGGCAATTCGACAGATAGACATCTCTTGATTTTTACACGGTAATCTCTACCCACCATCACTGTTTCTACATGCATAGACACTCGTGAATAAAACTACGAGAAGGGGACGGAAAATTTGGTTAATTTACAAGACTATCAGTTTAAATAGCTGGGCCCTTAACATTGTCGGATATTGGCGTCGCGGTTAGGCAATGCGTTGGTGAATTTTGACTGTGAACACCTGGTGTCCAAATAATGGATTTCGAGTGGACAAACGCTCTGACAATTCAAAAGTTGGTAGACACAATGTACTGTCACTTTCAACAAAGTTTATGCTGAAAGGTTAGTAAAACTTGTCGATATGCTAACGTACATATATTTTGCATCATTTTATGAAATTAATATACCCGGTGACTGATGAATGGAATCTGCCAGTCGTTCTTGTATATTTTCATTTAATTTCTGTTTATGTATTTCACATACTTTATCGGCCTTGCTTTAAAGTTCCACGATTTACCTGCATAAACAGAAGCGTGGCTGTTCCAAACGCCATTGTGCTAAACGATCGGGCCCATCCTATTTACTCCGTATAATTGTTCTCATCTGTTTCCGACGGCTGACGTGAAGGACGCAAGCACCGAACAAACTGGATATTCATCGTATGCAGATATATGCATATTTGATATAAATACAAGCAGACTAAACTACGTCCACGTAAGCCATACGTATAGAGTTATTCAATGCAAACGTACCAATTGAAGTTGACGCATTCATTCTAGATTGGCGCCGCGCAACCAACTTCATTCTGTACATTTGACCTGGATAGACCAAGCAAATAAATTGGCGGCCACGAGTAATAAATTAAAAGTGAACGTAAGAAGAGCATTCATAAGCGAAAATAAAAGAAATGAGGTAATAATTCCACGAGTACATGGGAGACGTGAAGTTTTCATAAAAATTATGAAAAAAAATGCCCTTAATGAAACAGGGCCTAATATCCTGTATGGTTTCGTAGTAACGCTGACTCCAATTTCCGGCGGACGACGACGTGCCTCGTAATTCTCTTAAGCCTCGACTGTTACCACCCTCCTGAGATGTCACAGGACGAAAGAAAACGAGCATCCCTTATACCTTACTGAGGTAGATATATGTTTCTCGATACTCTTGTCAGTCATACAACAAACAGTAGTAACGCCTACGTGGAATTTTGACGATAATAACAATACCTCACTGATAGTTGCAGATACCCTTTTCCTGAAAGCGTCCTCGAACAGAAGCTGCCCACCCACATGTGTACTCCCGCTCACCTGCTACCTGATTATATACTACCCAGCTGCCTACCAAGCTAAAGAAGAGCTACCCACCCAGAAGAAAGATTCTTCCTGCCACAGCGACAGGAAGTCTCGCTGTCGCAATCGGAATTCAATGCCGGGATTGATGGTTTAATGGAGCGAAAAGGCAAGTGAAGAGAACCCTAACAAAATCCGGGGCATTACCATTATCCTGCGTAAGGAGCACATTGGTACCCTCCTACATTTTCCACTTGGATTCGTAACTTCACCCTTCAAATTTCTCCCTAATCAAAAGATTCAAAAAAAAATCCGTACACATCCCCCTAACTTGTCCTATAGTTAGGGACGCCCCTCCCTCTGCTCATATATGAAATTGACGTTTTGTATGCTCAGCTCTACCGTTGTGCCAGAAGGAGCCATTCCTAGTGTCCTTCGTTGTACCGTGGGATACAGATATTTATGGGTAAGGACCAGCTTTCTTGTCTTACTGAAACTACCCTTTAGTACTTGCCTGACTGTGTATAACCCTCTTAGCTGTTTCTACTTCTGGGATGTTTTGCCGTGGAAACAGTGGGCCAGGATACGTTGCACAGATTAGGGATCAGGAAGCAGCTTTAATGATACTGAGTCCTGACAAGTGGCTTTCTTCTGACACTAATTGGTACGCGTCATTCGAAGCCATTTTACCTACCAATTACTGAAAGCTGATCAGCCGGAAGTGGTTGTTATTGGAGCATTAGGTCGTATCAGTATTGACGCGAATGTGAATTGATAAGCTCCTTAAGAGATGAAAAGAATTGCTGAGTAGCCAAAGACGATGTAAATTCTTTGAACCTTCGCCACCTGACTTAATGCGTCTACAGCGACATTTTTTTGTGCAGATGCTCAGAGTTGATACGTTAGACGACTGTAACAGAGATGTCGGCCAAAGTGACTCAACGGAATTTAATAAAAAAGCCATTTGAAGGGGAAAAAAAAGGTAGATGCCGAGTAAAGTTTTCAGAATGGATATTTCGCATGCGAAACGTAATCGTGGCAATAAAACTTTTCTTGCCTGCTGAGAGTGAAGACACTTCTGTTCCCTGGTAAGATTATACGATCGCGTCGTGAAAATAGAGAAAAATGAAAGAGATTGACAAGAGGCAGAGTCTGCGTGAGAGTCGAATGTTGAGTTGAAATTTGCGTCTTAAAATCCACCTGTATTGACGTTGCGTTATCGTGAAAGCAGGGAAAGGGAGAGAAACGCGAATAAATGGAAAATGGTAAATGGGGTGCACAGAGGAAAATGGAAAATGAGAAATAAAATATGAACGACAACGTGACGTTTGTGTATAACGAATACGTTAAATCCTGATGTTGCATTATCTTCGAGATATCTCGTTGTCTCAATCGAAATTTTAAAGTCGACTTTATGCCTACTGAAAGCTTTATTTTCTACGTGAAAACCAAGTGACGCAATAATTTTTCTTTTTTTTACAGAAATACAGACTGTATATCAAAACAATTTTTTTTACATAGTACAAACTGTTACGTCATAATTTCCTTCTGTTCTTGCGAATTGCATCTGTTATCACTGTCGTATACAACGTCGGTTTGTGCTTATCATTGATACTGGTTTATGGAGTAACTTCAGTTGCTCGTTGCCATTTATAAAATGGAAAATAAATGAAAATCCTTATCAAATATAAGAAAAATCTATTAAATAAATCATTTCATAACAATTAATAATTTCATATTTTTTTTTTATTTTACTCGTGCATCCTGTCTTGTCATTCGAACGCGACTGAATATATCTGTCTAACTGACTGTCAGTATAGGCGTGTGAAAGAAACCTTAAGGCTAGTTCATAACTTCTACCTAGTACCCCACTGATACGACAGGCCAGACAGGTTAGTCGCTTTCTCTAGCTTTTCTAGCCTGATCCGCAGCAGGGCTGACCCACGCTAAGCGTAACAGTTTACCGATAGCACATCAATTCAATTCAGCGTTCGATTAGATAGTCGCTATTGACAAAACTACCGAAACCAAAGGGAGCGTTCGTGCTGCAGCGACTATTATTTTTTATCCTATAGAAATACCAGTCTACATCCTAGAATAGAAAAGCGATCGGAGCCATCCCCAAAATTGTCTTCTTGTTAAATTGTAACACTGACCCCAAGTGTATACAGACACGTGACAGGTCCAAAAAGAAAAACTCCACTGTGCTGTAATTGGTATAAAATACAATTAAAAAAAAAAGTGCACGTTAAAATAAAAAATGTCTTATAAAAAAATACGTACAATTTCAGCATATCCCATCGTTGGAAATTCGTCAAGGACAAAAACTCATTTGCTTCCGATCGGTAGTATCAATTCAATAACAGGCCCTACTGATTCCAACAAAGTCCTTCCAGACGTATGATTAAAACTTTCACCCTCGCTTTCAAGATTCATGGAAATACTTGAACAACTTTCTTAAGCCTCCATTCGGTCTCGTTAAATTATGTATACCCTCGAGGGTAAGAATTTTTTAAATCCTCTGCAACTTCACCAACCAATTCTTCATCCATATCCGTCGCCCCACGACCAATGCTCCCACGGGACACCTTGAGTTCTTATGAGCTGACGTGTATTATTATTTTATTAAGAAAGTGAAAAACTGCCCAAAATATTTCTCCTTCAAGATCCATTTCCCTCCCCACGGTCTACCCTCCTCTCAAGCATTACCCGACGACAGCCGATTATTTACCAGCCATCTGTCAAAAAAAAATCCTCCATCGACCACTTCCTACAACCTTATATAATATATGCCCTACGCAATACCTATATATTCGCATATACCATATCCATGGAACCGTGCAATATAATCTTCCCGAAAATTGGCCACTGTATATCTGACGGGATTGAGAATCGCGAATTTCCGTCACGTTTTATCACAGCCGTAAAAAACTTTGGCGAATCGGCTAAGCGTGTCTAAGCATACGCGACTAAAAAAAATGATCCTATGACAGGGAGTGTCGCAACTGATAGAGACTATCGTTGTGAGATCAACGGTGATAAAGGGTTGACCGTATAAATAAAGGACGGACAAAATGGTCGCCCAGGGACAGAATTGACATGGAGGTCTTGAGGCGTGAAGGACGCAAAGGTAAAAGTAGCCACGAAGGAGCGTCCTTTTGAGATCCTTTAAGAGATGAAAGAGGAGCAGACTATTATTCCTCGACATTTTCATTTCAAAGTTCCACTGGAAAAATATAATTCTTTCTTTTTCCCAATATCGATACAGGTACCGATTAGATTGATTATCGTGAATCTAATTAATCCTTCAATTGTCTCTTAACCCTTTCACGTCCATCCACAAATTCGTATCTGACGCTACTTGCATGTCGAAGCGTTCTGAATTAAATTACACGTACTACTGTCAATCACTTCCATCCTATCAAACTACCATTATCATTATCCTCAATCAGGATATTGACTTACAGGTCCTTTCAAATCCAGTTAGTATCTTCGTCTCTGGCTTTATACAGATACATCCCTAAGTATATAATATTCATTATGTGCATATTGTATATATATATATATATATATATATATATATGTGATCTTGGTATACGAGTATATAGATATACTTACAGTACTGTCACTCTTTCTGATTGTCTATCGGATTTTAGCTGTTTCCTAGTGACCACTTTCTCTGTCCTCTCTATTCTCCAATCCTTCCTATCATAGCACGTATATACACAAGGCATTAGTGGACATTGCGAGCTACCAGGTACATACAAATCTTAAGTCTTATTTGTTCAATCGTAAAATAGTCTTTACTCCTGCTACGTGCTTCGCTTCTGATTTTACGTCGTAACGTAAAGGTTATGTTAATTGGCACGTGCTGTCTATGTAAGCCTGTGTTATTAGTGAATAACACGGGAGCGTGTGGAAATCCAAGAGACCATGCTCGAGGATCAAAATGTCTCTTGGGCATACCCAAGAAATATATAGAACCAAATGCTCGACCATCGTGAAGAAGATATTCCGCAGTGACTTCGCATCCGATAGATTTTCAACGGCAGTTGAAAATACTCGGATTTCATACCCGTCATTTGATTCGATGAATAATTCATGTCGCTTGCGAGAGATCAAAAATCACCAAGCCTTTACAATTTTCAGGATCGATCTCGTGACAAGTATTGAAAATCACACTATGGATCTTGCATACCGAAAGCGTCTGACTCTAATGTGTCAGATCTGTGAATTTCATTGTAACGGATGAGAGACAGATTACGATGATAAAAATTGATTAAAAGTTGCTTCTATTCTGCTCTTATCTGTGGTGAATGGTTGACAATTATTTAGATAAAAAGTTACCTATTCCAAGTAACACTTTAGTTTTGTCACGTTGAAATGAAAGTGACAGTGGAAACACGCGCTTGCTCGTCAGAAAACTTGATCTTTTTGTTGACAAACGTGTACCTATAGTTGTAGCTTTCTTTTTCAATGCCGGGTGCTGCTCTGTCACGAGACGATCCTGAAGAGACCAACAAGTGGATGAGGAATTATAAATGTGCATTACTCACGATTGTGTGGCGCGTTTTGGTGTTGCGGCAGGACTGTCGTTGTCAGGCAGTCTGGCAGCCTCGTGAAAGCTTGCCGTACGTTAGAGCGCATGCGCTGGACACGAGGTTCGGGCAGCAGCGCCTCTGCAAATCGTAGGGGTGGTTTTTCTTTGAAGAAAATAAGAAAAAAAAGATCCTCGTACCAGCATACTACGAGACACGGGTAAACCCTTCGGATTTGGTTTCGCAGTTCTGTCAGTCAACTGCTGAATCCTGGGGAAAATTTGTCACACTTCGTCAGACTGGACAGGGAACGTATCTTTTTTTTTTGAATTTGCCGCGTAATACTTTGGTAATTTAAGTGTTGAATCTGTAACGCGGAGAAGAAATCTTAGATTTTTTCAAAAAAAAAAAACACGTGATTGATTGCTTAATTAAATATAACAGCTGTTACCTCTATACGTACTTTTCTCATAAAGGGTGTACTATAAAACTGACTGAAGATATGGTTGTGACTCACTCAATTGCATGTAGGTAAATAGAAATACGACGTAGTGCAGGTAGTAAGTTTTAGAACACACTCAGAAAATTATTTACCGCAGGGACGTCTTGTGGATTGCCAATTACGTTTTAGAACGCAGATAACGTTGTATCTGAGTATGTAACTGATGTCATAACAGTAGTAATTGCGCCCTGGGCATAATTACTAGACAGTAAAATAACGTTGTTGACCTTCGCCCCATTCAAGAGGCTCGAACTGCTAGACACAGGAATTTAGGAACTGAAGCAATATAGACGGTCGTATCGCGTTTAATGGCAGACACTTATTAGCCAAGGAAAGAAAACGGAACTGCCAAATTAATCTAGTATTTTTGTACCACCAAAAAAAGGACAACGATAAATCGACAATTTTTTATGAACGTATTTTTGACTTTAAAACGGTCAAATGACCGGTCGATGCTACGGTAGCATTAAATATATCAAGAGCAACAGGGTGTCTGGAATAATCTGGAATTTAGACAGACAGCCGTGACGCTTGTTGCTCCCCGTTTGGGCGTCTATTTGTACTTCAGTCGTACACGGGTCGAGGTTGGCGAAGCGTTGGCTAGCGTAAAAAAAGATTCCGGCTCCCAAGAAACAAAAGGATACGACGGAATCTGATGGAATCCCAGTCCCTCTTGGAATTTCGTAGTGAGCCACGGATTAGGGTGGTAAGCCCGGAAAACGGCAATGTGAATAGCGCTGGTTATTCTTATACGAAGAATGACAAAGGAAGTATCCAGTAAAGGCAAATATAAAGAAACAGAAAGTATAGTCTAAGAAACTTTAGAGGAGAGAGTGAACATTGTCTCTTGGGCATTGACAGTATTATCGATTAGCTTCGATTCCCTTTAAAGGAAACATAACCTATTGTAAGAAAAATCTTTCCTCTCATACGCAGTTACCGTGCTCGCGTTTCGTCCTGTCAACGTTCCCTTTTGACGACTAAGCCTGAAGCTTAGTCAACTGTCTTTACGTGTGGATTAAAAGCAAAGGAAATTAACAGAAGGAAGAAAAGCGGGAAGTCAGGAGAATAAGGTGAGTACGATGAGCTTTAAATGATGACAAATTATTCTCGCAACTAATGATTCTCAGTCTCGGAACGAAACGCGTGGTTGGGCACCTCGAAAAATGTACCTCTGGGATTTGACGTCGAGCGAGCGTAACGGGAAATCCTTATCTCGTCTCCGTCTGTCTCTTGGGACAACAGAGGAGAAATTTTCCATGAATGTATTCTAAAACTGACTGCAGATATGTATGTTTTTGTCTCAGTCGATTGCACGCAGTTAAACAGAGACAGGACGATACTTGTGATACTGACATTAATATTTTTTTAGAATGCATCCCATATCAGACTACAGGATCCATAATACATTACACGGTACACTGTAAAGGTGCGCAGCCATGTGATAAAAAATGGCGATTGTGAAAAACATGAGATTTTAACCTAGAAACGACGTACGCGATGTAAGTACTACGTCGTGCAACCAGATGGGCAAGGTAGTCGACAAAATTCTTTTTTTTTAATCCATAATTAATGCAATACCGGTGCATCGCCATGGTCTGTTTCTAATTAAAAAGTTACGCTCGAGCGGCTGGCTGTTTTATCCTAGTAAATATTTCACGGCGGACCTACGATGCTATTACGTTCCAACGGCCACCCACCTGCTCCCGAAAGAAAGACTGGAGAGAATAAAGAGGAGATTGATAGAACAAAAGGAAAGAGAGGAGTAACGACAAAATGCGGTCATCGAACGACGTTCCTGGGGTAATCGATTCTTTCTTTTTTTTTTCTTCTATTTTCTCAATTTTCCATAACGTCCTCTTTCGTTTACCTTTCGACCACCAGGATCGTACACTATCCGTCTTCCGGTTACGGATGATAACGTTTTCAAGCGATGTTCCTGTTTCCTCCTTTTGGCTTTACACTCATCCGAGTAACGATTGCTCGACCTGATGGGGATTTTAATAAGGGAACGAGGGCTTATTCATATCCTCGCGTAGAAAACGGCGCTTGCGCTAGACAGCCACCTGTAGCCCAGCTTCCAATCAATACATCATGGCACATCGTACCAGCGAGCTGTAGCGATGGGCATGAATCCACGTTAGCAAAAAAAAAACACAAACAAATTAATACCACTGTAGTAACATTTGCGTTTGAGTAATGTAGATTCATGAAAACGGATAACAAGTTATACAATTGTCTCTTGAGAACAATGGTGACACTTGTATGGAACAGAAAGTTTGGATTAGTTATAATCAGAATTCCAATTCTCAATAGTATTACGACTGACAAGAAAATATTGTATGAAAAGTCTCAGAGGTATTGAAACAAAATTGTCATTCTTCCATGTGACAAGAGTAGACAATTTTTTTTTTTCTCCTGAATATGAGAAAATTCCATTGTGTGACATAGGAATATAATTATAAGCCGTATTACTGGTAGTATATTCATTTTATGCAAAGAACAATGCTAAGCTGCTATGTAATTTCTCTCTCTCCCTCTAGTCGTCCTATTGAAGATATGGAAAAATGCGAAAAAATGGCAAGATTGGTGATACAGAGAAGTAAATAAACCATCGAAAAATTTTCAAAAGGAAATTTCGATTATCGCATTCAGAGGAAAAACCATCCACTTGCTGTATATCGATGATACCGAACTACCGTAACTTCGATTGTTTACGAGGTCATAAATTGACATTTAATGCCATTTTCACATCGTCCCACTGTATCTACATCTCGAAAAAAATCCAGAAAAATGTTCACCGACCTCGACGTTGTAGCGACTGGCGGTTATTAGGAAAGTAATATTTTTCTTCCATTTGACCCAGTAACGAGAATTCACGGTAACCATATTTCTACCCTAGCAGGAACGACGCAGAGGATTCAAAATAATAATCGTAACCCGAGTCCAGTACCTCAAAAAGTATAGCGCTCTATGGAAAGAAAAGAAATGAAGGAAATGGAAATACCAACAAAAGAGAAAGAATTCTAAGGGATGTTTATGTAACGTTCTCTACTCCCATCTCTTCTACCAATCGACTGTGAGGTCTTTGTTACTATCAGTATTTGCTAATTGGTAATCAGAGCTGACACGTAGTTATTCTACTTGGCATTTCTTTCCTGTATTAAAAATTCGACAATTTATTTACGTGTTCGTAGAATACTTTTGGACGTACTAATGTTGTACCATGATAATGAGCAGTGGCGCCACGGGAGGCGCGAGTTAAGAAGAAAATACATTTAATGGGAAGTGAGAGCGGAAGGCAGGGGAAGGAAGAAAGGAAAGAACAGTTTTCCGATCGCAAAAGTGAAACGAGCTCTAATTAAATTTCGCTCCGTGGCTCCCATTTTAACTCGTCTGGTAGTAATTATTTTATTCCATTGCGAGAGTACTGATATATATATAAAAGCCATACCATACTCAAATCTATTCGAGCAGAAGTGCTGTATTCACTGAAAAGATCAAATACAAGAACCTACCAATATCTAATATTCAATATCATCAAACTCTAACGATTACGATTATTAAATTTTAGTTATACATTCAGCATCTCTTCAAAAGAGGATATTAAATGGACTCCAGTCAGTTTTAATTAAGTTTCCACCAACGGGGATGCTGGGTTAATCTCGTCTCTATCAATATTCTCGTCTTCAGCAGATCCACAGGTAAATTGACAAATCTATAGAGAGCACGTGCTCGACTGAACCAAGCCACACTAGTTGCACAACGTAAATTTACTTTCTGCTACTCTGCACCGCAACTGCAACGATCTCCTGTTTCCGTAAACTTCAAAAGTTAAAAGTTTGTTGGTAAGTGAAAAAAAAAAAAAGAACGAGCTTGGTATTTCAGCAGGATAATATTGTAGGAATATTATAAATTCCTACCAAGATTATTCACCGTGCGATACAGATTATAAGGATGGATTTTATTTTTTTCAGTGTCAGTACAGCAGCAAGGGTCCATCTAAATATAACGTTCCAGCAAGGGCTCGTGTGTCAGGGCAGACCTGGCTAAAATCGATTTTATTCAGTAGCAACCCTCAGCACGCACCTACCCATTCGTACGAACTCACCCTGTTATCTACTGTGGAAACCGATAAGCTGACTTCCGATGATAGAGATTACGTCTAGACTTGGTATGATCCTGGATAACTATTGTTTTCATTCTATATCTTCACTAGTGACCATTCAATAAGATTAAGTATGTACTGATAAAGGTATACTGTAGGTTTCTCGAATATTTTCATTTCATTGATTAGATTGACACTGATAAGGAACGTATTTGCTTAACTCATTAGAATCTACAGTCTAATGGATAGAGTGAGTCACCTAGGATTTGGAGAAATCAAAAAGGTTAGCCAGGTGCTTGATTGTTTGTTGCGATAAAATAACTTACCTAAGGTATTATACCGGTTGTATTGATCTACACTGTTTTATCTATTGATTTACGACACTTGAGATATATCAGAGATTGATCGACGGTTGGACATGTGGAATTGATGGTAAATAATGTTATTGATATCTGTGAAATTTCTTCAATGTTCTTTTTTTTTTTCTTACTCCCTCGCAGATCCGCTAGTTACGCTGGATCTTTCGTAAAACTATTTTACAATTCTTTTAGACGAAAACGATACAAGCACAATTTACAAATATAGTTGTGATACACGATGCTTTTTCATTATTGTTTTAATGCTCGTCTCATGTACCCATAGGAAAATTTTTTAATAACCTAAATAGATATGTCTCTACGATTAAATGCTAGACCCATTGTGATTCGATGTAATAACAATATATATCGAACTCAAATCGAAACAATAACAATTTGGTACCATAGTATGTTTCTGATCACTATTTTTTGCAAATTAGGCCACGAATCGTACAATTTTTTTTAGACTGTGAACCTTAACACGCGTGAAATGTTAATAACTGTAATTAAAACATTACAGAAATTACAATATAGATTAAAAGTGCGTATTATGCATAAGTTAAGAAAAAATACTATGCTTCTCAGAAATGCTTAATCAGTTCTCACTCTTGTATTTTACAAAATTGATAACGTCATCGTCGGTGAAGACAATAACTTTTTTTTTTATATAAAATCTGTCTCCTCTCAGCAGGTGGTATTTATCTGCATATCAAAGAACCGAGACAAAATTCACAAATGGAATAATCCCTAATAAAATAGAAAAACAAAAAACGAATATTCTCTGCTTAATGTGTAAATATCAGAACGGTTCGTCTCATCGTGCACAAAGTTTAACTCTTGCAGAGAAAAGTAAAATAATTTTACTTTGTCACACGACCTACAACTTTTTTCTGGTAGCATTTAAAATCCATTTGCCCAGCATCCAATTTTCCAATTCATAAACCAATACTGCTTTTCCATAATATATACCTTATCTTTGTGCATTTCACGGCGATCATCGACGAATTTATCAACGTTTTTAAAAACGATCCACAACCCGCAGCTGAATTAAAGTCAAAAAGGACATTATCAGGTTTAAAATTTATCTACCGCTAATATAGCGACCATTTATTTTGTTTTAGAAGCAGTGCGGGATCTTAGATTCTTCTTAGTTGCCTGATCAACTTCGGGCAGGTCGTCGTCTTCAGAGAGAGTTGCTTTCTTTCCTGAAATGGATAAACAAGCATGCCTTAATCCTGTCTAAAGAACAATGCGATTTTCACGATGGAAACGTTCAGGACGATGCGTTTGAAAAACATTCTTACCTTCCTTCCTCCTGACTTTCTGTTTGGGCTTAATTTTCGAGATGATTGGCGCCTTGTTTTCACGAGCTCTTTTAATCGTTCTCTTCGCGAAGCCAAAGAGAAGATAAAGTTGGAAAGCAACAATAACACCGAGCACTGAATATCGCACAGCTGGGATGTTGAAGTTACCAGTTGTGTAATCAAGAGTTGTTTCGGTTTGTCCTAAGCCATAGAAGAAGACGAGAGCTGCGAGAGCGACGGTTGCCAGTCGGACGAAGATAAAGGCTGAATTAGCGATTAAGAAAGCCACTGTAAAGAAAAAGAGAATGATGATGAAGTAACTGATTAATGATTCTCTCATGTATCGAAGTCAAGTACTTACAACGAGTTGCATTTTCTTTCTGGTCTACGAAGTGGATAATTCTTGCACCATGCTGGAGAGCATCTCCGATGTAGTGAAGGACTAACAAAATAACGCCAATGTGCTGAAAGCTGTAAACAATAATGGATGTTTACGAAGGATTTATTTGGAACAATAAACCTGAAGGGATATTGTGATATTATATAAGGATCTTACTTAAGGAAGTACGCTGCACCTGTGAAGATCAGACCAATTGTGGCTTGGAATACTCTGGACGGAATTTCTTCCTTCTTGATACGTTGGAAGTATAATTCAGGGTAAGCATGAAGCCAGTAAGCTAGCTGTCCGATGAAAAATAGTTTCAGAGAGAAGGACATTACTTCTGGATAATTCTCCCATAGAGAAGGAATATTTAGAAGAAGATTATCCCTAGAAATAATTACATTATATAAATGATTATCCCATGACACTAAGTAAATTTCAAATAGAATGGAATATATCTTGCAAGCTTTTGTTTTTCCCATAGAAAACTTACCTAAGAATAATATCGATACCCCAAATTGCAGACAAAACATAGAATGTAATGAGTTGGCTGGATTCGTTGAACTTGGAAAGCTTAATCTTGCTCAAATGGAGACGCTTAGAGATTTTCTAGAGAATTAAACAAATTTATAAGTGTAAACTCAAATATAGTCCAATGAAGTTAAATGCAATTGTACAATGCCTACATCAAATATGTATTCCTGGATGACAGCGTGCATAACAATAGTGATAAGAAAATAGAAAAATACTGCGCACGCATCCTTCCAGCCAGTAGTATATTTCTGAGGCACAATGAAATCTTCATACTCTGACGAAGTAGACACATTATGATGAATAGCAATGAAGGTATATGCCCATGGTGAAGTTACCTAAAAGAAATCCATAGCACTAATTATTATAACGCATCTACAAATCTGATCCAAAATAATACAACTGACATATTAATTCAATAGTCATACACATAATTTCCTGTTTTTCATATACCCCAATAAATTCTGAAAAAAAAAATTACCCCAACCATTCAAAAGTATTAACCCCTGTAAGTTTCTGATTGATTTTCCAAACTTCCAAAAAGTTCTAAACAAACGCCGGTAAACCGCTCTGTAACATATGGTTCCAGCAATTCAGAGATAAGTACGTGGCCGCTTGTAAGGGACTAGGGTCCTAACTAGTGCCAACATACATAAAAGAAGAAGAAGAAGAAGAGGAGATAAGTACATCAAAAGTACCAAAAAGAAAAATATAAATAAACCACTCAAATAAGTAATCGCCGAAACTTTTCCATCACACTCAAATATAGACAAATCTTTATGGTCATCGAGAACTTGAAGTATCCATAACGATAAAGACACCATACGCTTGGAATAGTACACTGACCTGCACCATCAAACCAACTATGAAAACCATAGCCACGCAGGATACAATATCCGCATGATTTTGAATAACAAACTCATGACTTAATATCGGCGGATTTTTCGTAGAACTCTTTCGTCCTTTTATGGCGACCATTTCGTCTGAAAATGTATATCCTCCGCGTCGTGAAAGGAATCCCGATGCTGATCGCCGTTACAAAGCGTTCACCAAACACCAAACATAGACTGACGGTACACTGGAAACCAAAGCCGAAGGTTGGACTATCGAAAAGTGTCACAGCAACATACCTAATCGCCAACTGTAGCAATGTGGCGCATATTCCCGTAACGTGTTGGCACCACGTGAATCAAAAGAATGATAAACGAAATAAATACATCTTAAATAATAAAATCATCCAAAAATAATATCAAAATATCGACATTAATAATAACAAATAGCACCCAAACGTTCCTTCAAAGCCCACGCACTCATTTAATTTAAATCCTTACTTATCAAAATGAACGCTGACTTGATACCAAACGCGCCATAGTGGAGATAAGATCGAATGTACGCTCGTAACTTTACTGCTCTCATTTTAGAATGTTTTCTCCAGAACTTTCCAGGCGCTCTTACATTGATTATATAACTATTTAGTGAAGATCATCTTCCTCTATGTATACACTTAACTCTACTTATAATTCTGATAATGTGCACTCTATAGATCAATTTCAAGAACTAGGGAAGAACAAGCGGAAATATGTAAGTGAATATTCATATAAAGGATGGCAACTCCTCTCTGTACTTATAGCCGCTGCTACATAGTAGAAGAAATATTTAAACCTTTGAGATTCACGAATGGTAGCTGGATAACCCGCGATAAGAAGAAGGAAAGAATTAGTTGCTCAGCAATATTAGAAATGCGAAACATTTAATAAAGCTTTCCAAATGATACTAAATATTATTGGATCTTGACATACTTTCGAAAATTGTTTAAAATATGAAATTGAGGCTAAATCAAAATTTCGCAAAATATACGGAGTAGATAAGAAATGAATTGAAATTGTAATATGTGGAAAATATAATTACGCTCAAATTGACATATTAGTAAATTAGGTGTTTGGAACATTAAAATAATTAATTAAATCAGTAAAGTAAAATATTAAGACTTAAAAATCGGAAATTCTGGCCAAACATATTTAGAAGCACTGGGAGTTGCCCAAAATCGTGTGCGCGCGAATCCATCGCGCAGGACAGTGAGTGGGAGCAGGCGGAGAGTGGGGGGAGCGCTCGAGGCAGTGCCCGGACTCGAGGCGTTCATTCTTCCTCGAGCCGGTCTCCTATACTGGTGTCTTGGAATCACCCCTCTTAACCCTTTCCAACCTTCTTCTCTTTCTATACTTCTTTACTTTCTTAATTCTTCAAACTTTCATCTTTTACTTTCTTCTACTTTTAGTTATCTCTTTCCTTATTTCTTCTCCACTTTTATACTTCTATTCTCCTCCCTTTTCTTGTTGACTTTTTTATTTCTATCTTCCTTTCTAATTTCTCGTTTCACTCTGTGCCCTCTTACTTTCTATCGTGCTTGTCTTACACTTCCTATTCCTTTGGTCGGGTCGAGCATATTAATTCAAGTAGTCATATAAGAGTAGTCATCCGGTTAGTGCAGCTAGACTTAAGACCATGGTGTCGGGGGTTGCCCTTCCGCCTCTTCCGCTGAGCTTGCTCAGTGGTTGGTGGCCCAAGTTGTGGCCGCAACAGGACCTTATGGGTCTCCCGACGGGGGCCTTGAGCCCCCTTAGGGTATCTACGGCCATGGTCTTTCGTATAGTGAATCTAGCCAGGTGTCTAGCTCTCGCGTATTAGTATCATTTGTTCGCTTTGCTAAAAACGCTCCAACATGTCTTGACAAAAAAAACACGGTCCCCTATGGGGCCTCGGAGGGGTCGTAGCTCCCTTGTGGAGAGGCAGGACCTCACGGAAATGGGCGAGTTTGGGCCCATTTCGCTCCCTTATACTTCCTACTTTTCCCAATGTTCTCTTTTCTCGCTCCTCCAGAATAATCTGGTTCTCGTACACACAGTTTACGCATTTCCTTCTTCTCTTGGAGCGGTCATTTCCGCACATCTTCCTTGGCTACTGCCACCAAACGTTTCTACTCTATTTTCGAATCTCCTATTCTTTCCTACGTCTCCATCACTCTCCTCCTGGTATATCCTTAAAAACTAAGCTGTTAAAAAGTCCTTTGGAAAAGGAAAAGTCCAAAGTGATAGCGCATGTAAGATACCAAATGTATATTATATTGCAGTGATATATAAAAAATATATCTCTAATGGCATTGTTATTGCTAATCTTTCGCGGGCTATAACGTCTGTACTTTGTATACTGTATCATTATTGCGTTTGTCGAATAAATCATCTTTAAACACTTATACACGTTAATATTCTTTTGCCCTATGCGAATATCCCAGAGTGCGAATGAGTTCTGTCTCTTTCCTACACTCCTCCGTCCTAACAGCATCCTTCTCCTCCCTTATGCTTTGAAACCCCTTTTTAGCTGTGCTCCATTTTCCACTCCATCTCTGCCATATTATACATATCCTGATTTCGCTTTCTTTCATCAATACTACCTTCTAAAATAAAATGATTCCGGATGCAATTTAAAAATCACATTGTCGAAACTTTAGAGGGTCAATTTTTATTAAAGAATTCGCATTAGTTCGAATTTTTGCCGGTAAGGGGGCAGCACCTCCTGGGCATGATAAGTGGCGCCATCTCTGAGACAACTAGTGAACTTTTGCTGGGAAAATTTTGCAAATTTTAGTTCCGTATATCAACGATAGGGGGCGCTTCAAAATGCCGATTTTCCCAGAAAATTTTACAAATTTTAGTTCCGCATATCAACAATAGGGGGCGCTCCAAAAAGCACATTTTCCCAACAAAAGTTCACTCGTTCTCTCACAGATGGCGCCACTTAGCATGTCCAGGAGGTGCTGCCCCCTTATCGGCGAAAATTCGAACTAATCGTAATTTTCAATAATAATTGACCAACTAAAGTTTCGACGATGCGATTTTCAAATTACAATGAGAATTATTTTATCAGAGAAAGTACACTAGTTGTCTCAGAGATGGCGCCACTTATCATGCCCAGGAGGTGCTGCCCCCTTACCGGCAAAAATTCGAACTAATGCGAATTCTTTAATAAAAATTGACCCTCTAAAGTTTCGACAATGTGATTTTTAAATTGCATCCGGAATCATTTTATTTTAGAAGGTAGTATTGATGAAAGAAAGCGAAATCAGGATATGTATAATATGGCAGAGATGGAGTGGAAAATGGAGCACAGCTAAAAAGGGGTTTCAAAGCATAAGGGAGGAGAAGGATGCTGTTAGGACGGAGGAGTGTAGGAAAGAGACAGAACTCATTCGCACTCTGGGATATTCGCATAGGGCAAAAGAATATTAACGTGTATAAGTGTTTAAAGATGATTTATTCGACAAACGCAATAATGATACAGTATACAAAGTACAGACGTTATAGCCCGCGAAAGATTAGCAATAACAATGCCATTAGAGATATATTTTTAATATATCACTGCAATATAATATACATTTGGTATGTTACATGCGCTATCACTTTGGACTTTTCCTTTTCCAAAGGACTTTTTAACAGCTTAGTTTTTAAGGGTATACCAGGAGGAGAGTGATGGAGACAGCTCAATAGCACCCGCACCTACCCCAAGTGAAGTGACCCCCAAGCACAAGCACAAGTAGGACTTTACCCAAAGTCAACGGACTACCCCTCCGACCTCCCCCCGGACAAATAGGATCGTCTCTACCCACACAAGTGCCCAAGGGTCAAGACATGTTGGAGCGTTTTTAGCAAAGCGAACAAATGATACTAATACGCGAGAGCTAGACACCTGGCTAGATTCACTATACGAAAGACCATGGCCGTAGATACCCTAAGGGGGCTCAAGGCCCCCGTCGGGAGACCCATAAGGTCCTGTTGCGGCCACAACTTGGGCCACCAACCACTGAGCAAGCTCAGCGGAAGAGGCGGAAGGGCAACCCCCGACACCATGGTCTTAAGTCTAGCTGCACTAACCGGATGACTACTCTTATATGACTACTTGAATTAATATGCTCGACCCGACCAAAGGAATAGGAAGTGTAAGACAAGCACGATAGAAAGTAAGAGGGCACAGAGTGAAACGAGAAATTAGAAAGGAAGATAGAAATAAAAAAGTCAACAAGAAAAGGGAGGAGAATAGAAGTATAAAAGTGGAGAAGAAATAAGGAAAGAGATAACTAAAAGTAGAAGAAAGTAAAAGATGAAAGTTTGAAGAATTAAGAAAGTAAAGAAGTATAGAAAGAGAAGAAGGTTGGAAAGGGTTAAGAGGGGTGATTCCAAGACACCAGTATAGGAGACCGGCTCGAGGAAGAATGAACGCCTCGAGTCCGGGCACTGCCTCGAGCGCTCCCCCCACTCTCCGCCTGCTCCCACTCACTGTCCTGCGCGATGGATTCGCGCGCACACGATTTTGGGCAACTCCCAGTACTTCTAAATATGTTTGGCCAGAATTTCCGATTTTTAAGTGTTAATATTTTACTTTACTGATTTAATTAATTATTTTAATGTTCCAAACACCTAATTTATTAATATTTCTAAGGGTTGGTTTAGGAACCAGCGGTGAGTAGCGAAGAACCTTTACCGACCAAGCTACGCGTTCGTGTTCACGTTTAGCTCGGCTACGACGGGTTTCGCATTGTCGACGGAGGCGATGATCACAAAATCCTACTTCCAGACTTGCCGCTACGATTTAGCGCCATGCTTTTGGTATCGCCTAAAACCGGAGGATTGTGCATCTCCCCACTCATCTCTGTCGGCTGATACCGTAGCGTTGTGCATGACCCTACTCATCTCTGATGAAAATCGGCTCATTGGCAGTCTCCCTAATCATCTCTGCTTATCGTAATGGCCTATAGGAAATGACCCTTTAGCACACTCGTTCCATTTTCATTATTTTTTCTTTTAATCTAATGACACTAAGTTCCATGAATACAGAAGATATAATTTATTTGACGACACAGACACAACATTCTTATCAATCGCTCTGCGTGTTACATTAGAGTGTCACGACAAGAAGTACAATGGCATTGAGAAGTTTCCACTGGACAAATGAAAGAAAATCTTATATTATCATGTAATACAGATATGATAAATAATTTAATGCGAAAATATGATAGATCACAAGAATATATAACACTACGCAACTAAACACTACAAAAACGTAATTTGTCATTGATCAACAATGAGCGAAAATTATAGTAAGAGTCTCTTGGATATTATAACGAAATATTACCTGCTAAACGTTACGTTGCTAATATCAGGATTGAAAAGGAAATCATTTTTACTTTAGTAACCTGATAACAAAGTCATTGAAATTTTTGCCACAACCTCATATCATTTTACGGTAGGCATACAGAAATGATATATCAAAATGATCTAGACTGATATTGATCCACCATATAAATAATATAATTTTCTTTGTACCATCTATCTCCCAAATTTCATAATCGGCAAACGCTATCAATTACAATGAGCCGTTTGTTTTGTATACTTTGACCATTAAAAAGATGCCACTGATAAAAAGAAGATAGGATATGACATATCTCAAGGTAGCATGACGTTATCAAACTTGCATAATATTCTGAATTTTTCAATGCATTTTCAAAACTCCAGAGAAATCCAATTTACGATATTCCAAATATCTCATCTGTCAAATCTGAACGATATATTGTATAACGCCTGTGTATATTTGTATAATGCGATCAACAGATTCTATTGTCTTTAAATATAATTCTCAACCATTAATATAATAATACGCACTCGATAACATTTTCACATAGATGATTCATTTGCAATACACATATGTATATATGCGATTATCATTAAATACATAATTTATATATATATATATATGTATAATAGGTAACTACTTTGTGGTTGAAACGTCGAAACAGCGCAATAAAAAGAACATGACACAGAAGTGAGATAAAGCCCAAAAAAAGGAAATAAAAAATTAATTTTTTCAATGATCTCATCAGTCAGAATTTTTTCGATAAACGTACCAGACAACGATTACACAAGCACACTGATAAAAGGTCATTGCCCAAAATTTTCTAGAGTAATGATATATCGGTAATACCATTTGCAACATTATATTTGAATAATTTGATCGAAGTTTGCATATTGCGTGATTCATTAATTTCTACTTCTACGGATGTAACGGATGGACGTACAATGCAATAAACGTGTGTCCTGTTAGCATGATGACTTTTTGCAAATAATTATTTTCCAAATTTAATTTTTTCATAGTATGTATAATATCAAGGTTACGCAGACCATTGTAAAGTCACAGTCGACGCTTAATACCAATTTGATGAGAGTGACGGAACGAATTAATTGAACGAGGATGACAAATCTTGAACAATGATAAATTGGTAATTTTATAATAATTTGTTCTCTTTTTTCCCCCTTATTAATTTTACAAGACATGAACGAACGCCATGACGTTCGTAGTTTAAATCCTTTTTCTTGTGACTCTAAGTTATTATGAACGTACCATATCTCCATTTGGACGTCATCTAATAATTAATGATATTACGACAGGTACGCGAGTGTCGTAATAGAAAAAAGGAATTAATTTTAAACATTATGATTTCTTTTTCTTTTCTTTTTCTTCTTTACCCTCGCAAACCTTAAGTCTTAGCAAATCTTTTTTTTTAACATTACGTGCAACCAACAGGACTTAGGTCGACATTTTTCCTAAGAGCCGTTCGCGATTGCAAATTATTCTTTTGAGGTAGACGAGTATATTCTTCAAATAGCTCTTTATAGCTTCGAATAACGCTTAACGGAAAGACAATGTTTTTTTTTCTTTTTTTTCTTTTTTTTTTAATAATAACTGAAACTGTCACGAAAATATCCTTATCCTTAATTCTATACCTTAATCGATCGCGATTCTTTAATCGAAATTTTGCCTTTATTGTGCTAGTCGCGTGAATTGTTTTTTTGTCAATTCGCTCGATTTTCATTTGCTTTCAATCACTGGACTGTAAGTAGATGTGTGAGGTGTATTTTTTAAAATATAAATTACACAAAGTGTTATTGAATCTGGTAATCGATAACAGTGAATATTTATTAACTTTAGGATAACCTTTAATTGATCATTTATAATTATTGAATCTGCGAGGTGAATTGATATCGAGCAGCACATTAATTTTTTATAAATTTACTCCGATAATTTAATACGCTTTACGAATTTCGATCGTATAATATTTTGATAATTAGCCAATTATAATTTACACGAATTCTAATTTTTATTACATCCAATTGTACAATTATACTTTTGCTTGATTAACTCCAATTTTATTCTTAAGATAAAATCCAACTCTTTTTAGTGCCTTTCAACGTCGGCATATACTAATTTTTCTTGCCAATTAGAATTTATCGATAGATCCAATGAGGATTTACTTTTTTAATCCGGTAGATCCTTAAAGTATAGCTTACCCTCTCGCTTTTCAGGTACTTCGATTGTACCTGTATCTTACCTGAGATTAAACTTGTTCGAATTACGACTGAGACACCCAAAACGAATAATTTAATCGCCAACGCGTGTAACAGCCGCCGATAACTAACGATTGTGTTTAATAAAAAGATTCAAAATCAGATGTCGTGACTCGGCAGCTGCAGAACATCAAAAGAAGAAAAACGAACGACACAAAAGAATTTGCAATTGTTACGGTCGCAAGCTCCTAGCAAACGTTCAAAGCGTACGTTCAACGAAAGAAATTCGTCCTCTTTAATAATTCCTGCCTAAAAATTCTTTCTATTGTACAAATAGACTCAAACGGAACAACGATTACCGTTAATGCGCTCAAAATACTGTTACTACTTATCGACCTAATTTATCCCATATCAAGAATCCTGCCGAAGCGCTCCTAGGACACATTTACCTCATAGAATAGGTCGCTTCTGTTTTTTCTTTCTTTCTTTTTCTTTACAATTTAGACAAGAGTCGCGTCATTATCGAAGTTCATCTCCTCCACAGTTATGTAGAGACCTTCCTCTTCGTACGTAGATTCATGTTTTGCCAGCACCTTCAGCAACGGACGTAGCTTCATCCACCACTGGTACGTGGGTATACGATGTCTGAAAGCCATAAAGTATTTTTTTAAGTAATCCCAGCCTGGAAAAAGAATCTTAGAAATGTCTACAAGATAAATCTACATGGTGCCTTACTCGAAATCGGTGACTTCAGTAAGTTCTGTGAAGGGAGTGTATCTGTACTGACGTCTGACAATACCCAGCATCACAGCTGTATCAGGAATAGTAGCTACAGTTTGTCCATCTGCATTGGTATTCTTTTTCAATTGTTCGCTGAACCATTCAACGGCCTTGGCACCCATCTTAGTACCCAAGTTTCTATCGAATGGGGTTGGCGAGCCTCCCTGTTGCATGTGACCTGAACGTAAATATTTATTTACAGTCATTTCATTTGATCTGATCGTTAACGCTGTTAAAGAATTTTCATTGCCGTACCAATTATATTCATTCTACAGCTGAACAATCCTTTTCCCTCCTCTGAGAAAAGCCTCTGCATGAAGTCTGTATTATAATTTAGATTGGCACTTTCATTTCGAAGAATCAATCCTCTCTGTACGCCCTCGGACATCTTTGCCGCCATTGCTATCACGTCTTGATTCAAGTCCTTGATATTAAACTTCTCCTCGAATATATATGCAGCGTCAGCGCCGCCAGCTAGGCCAGCGACAGTTGCCAAGTAGCCGCAGAATCCGCCCATAGTTTCTATTATGAATACGCGACGCTTGGTTCCTTGAGCAGATTGACGAATACGATCGCAGATCTGGATTAAAGGGAAATAATAATATAAAAATTGGTTTCAGGAGTAATCAAGATGAAAATCGAACAGCCACTCACTTCTGTAATTTCATTGAGGGCCGTATCACAACCTAGAGAAAATTCCGTTCCGGGAATGTTGTTGCTAATAGTCGCGGGAATCATTGCAATAGGTATTTTAAATTCATCAAACTTTTCTCTTGCTTTGCAGAACACTAGACCGGTTTGATAACCCTGTAAAATAAGGAGGTAGCCATAAAAGACTGTAACATTGTTCAACCCTAGTGCATCAGTGTTATCAATAATTACCTCAAATCCACCAATAATCAGCAGAGCCTGAATTCCAAATTCTTTAAGTTTTTGAGCTATTTGTGGTAGCTGATCGTCCTTTGGAGGCGCACGTTTAGTTCCTAAATAAGCACCACCTTGAGCTACCCAACCAGTTACCGATGGCCAATCCATTAACTTGAGCTTCCCAGTCATTAGACCCAACACACCGTCACAAACACCATAAACCTATAAGCGTAAGAGATTATTAATTAAATAATTTGTTTATAGGAAAACTTTTATAAATCCTACTCAAGAACTTTTACCTTGTCTCCACGATAAATACAGTTCCTGACGAAAGAACGCACTGCAGCGTTCATGCCGCAAGAGGGTGAACCAACGTGCATTACAGCCAAAGTATAATGATCCTGTAATGGCAGTTGATATTTAACAGAATTCTTTCTGTCTTTTTATTTAAGGAATCATGCAACGTGCGTATTGATATATATACTAATTTCTAATTCTATCTATGTATTTCAATGGAATGTGTTACCCACCCCGCGGATGCATATGTAACAGTTTTTTATGGTATAGTACTTCAGTGAGACTGCATTAAAAATAATAGCTAAGTATGTACTATCTGTCGATGATAACGAGTGAAATCTCTAAAGTCATTCGAAGAAAGTAAATGTGCATGCTTAGTCCTCTGACCAACTTCAACTTACTTGCCCACAAAGAGTGTATTGCTATTGAAATAGAAAAATGTAAAATTAGAATAAAGAACATGGAAATTGCCAATAGAAAGGATTTCAGAAAATTAAGCGATGTATGATCAAGAAATCGCGTGAAAGTAATCGATACACTTCTATCTTGAAAATCCAATTACCTTCGTTAACGTGGGGCCATTACTTTCCTGAAGCAGCATTAAATCATATACACATATAATAATAATAAAACTGCAACCTGCATACCATAAATAATTTGTACCTCAGAGCCCTTAATTATGATTTTTCTTCTACGCTACTGCTATCAACTATACCATAAATATAAAACCATAATATTACTACACTCTAGGAATGGCAATCGAAATTCTTTAGCTTTGTGGTACAATTATTATCGATAGCTACAATAAAGAATCTTACCTTGGTGTGATCGTACTCAACAGGTGCCTTTAGTCTTGTCAACATTTTATATGTTTCTAAGTTGCGAGCGAAGCCCCTACAAAGACATAAAATGTCCAGAATAAAATACCTTGTCAAAAACTAACCTTGATCAAATGTAAAAATAAAAAAAGCATCACTTACTTTCCACGAAGTTTAACAGCCAGATCCCAATTCTTATCTGCCATAGCTTGAGCAACAGCTTTGGTGCGTCTTACACATTCCATCAGGGGTAAACGAACAGCCTGGTTACCATCCAAGGTGACGACACAAGCTTCCGTTTCCGGTGTAGCTTCCATTAGAGCCATTACCGCTTCAGCACCCATTCTGCAACCCTGTTAATTTATGATATTTTTTTTTTTTTACAAGAGCTTCATCTATGGTACTAAATAACAAAACAACTTTATTGCGTTGGTTAGCTAACCAGGACTCTGTCGAAGGCTGAAGGGTTTCCTCCTCGCTGTACATGACCAAGCACAGTGATTCTTGTATCCTGTTGCAATTTGTCGACAACAACTTTGTGAACCTTCTGAGCTGTGATAGGATCTCCATTTCTATCCACAGCACCTTCTGCCACGATGATGATATTTAAACGCTGACCAGTAAGACGTTCCTGCAGAGACAGAACATTGCTAAATTATATGCCAGTCTTTCGACAGCAAAGATAAATTAAACAATTATCTGTTCCGTAGCCAAGGAGACTTGATTAACTGTTGCATACAGGTACAATCGATGAATCAGTTATCTATGAGGTTACTAAAAAGTTTTAAAAATAATTGACAATGTAGCTAAACTGCTAATCGTTACATGATACAAATTCAAATATGATTCTGTTAATCATTGTATTCATGAAGAAAGCAATAATTCAGTTATTCTATTTATACATAATAATATATCGTTATTAAATAACGCAAACATATCCACTCTAGTGTCAGCTTTTATCAGTCGTATGACATATCAGGAAAGCGTTTCCTCTTTTTCTATTTCTTTTTTCAACAACATCCAATTAATATACAAGTAGTATTGCTAAGATAAAGCGATTGTTATGTCTATGTGAGAATATTTTATAGCCATAAACATGCAAAAGTATAAGCGACACTTATATGAGATGACCAATTGCCCAAGGACCAGTTATGAGATCGGCAAAGAAAAAGAGAGAATCAGTGTATCTTTAAATTTTTGTCTGTCTAGTAAAAGAGGAAATAACAGAAGAGTCACAAGAAAGAAGATGAACAGTTTCACTTAATAAAGTAAGCCTTAAAACGAACGTGACATAATTTAATTCATTGTAACATTTATAATAGACTGCCACCCATATATAGCCAAAAGTGTTTATCGTTATCGAACCTGCAACAATTTTTTGCAGAGCTTGTTCGGCCAATCCTGCTCAGGCGGCCATTCCGGGATGAAGACAAAGTCTGCCTCGGAGCACATGGCTGCCACCAGTGCCAGGTAGCTGTAATGTTACACCTTAAGACCTCACTGGCGATACATCATTCATCTACTATCTTTACAATGGGAACGCGATAATTTAATTAAATCATTAATTGGGCCATAGTGCAGTAATATACTAGTTTGGAGCGATAGTGCATACTGTTATCGTATTACCGAAACTATTAACAAGAGAGGGCAGAATGACACAAGTAAGATTTGTAGTTTACTTTTCTTGAAAATTTTCCTAACGTCTACCTCTCTGTTCGTGACTGAGATGTCCACCGCTATAGGCAAAAGCAAACTGGCATAAGGTGAATTTTCAATTGACGTAGTGTACAGCTGTTTTTGCAATGATACGCTAGATGTGGAAAATTACAAAAACACTTAAGTACTATTAGCCCCAATGCAATCGACCATTATATCAGGAACATGCCCGTCGAAGAGCTTCGCAAAGCTCCAGCACCCACTCATCAATTGACGACGATTTGCTCAAAAATGAATAACAAACTTCGGAGAATAAATTCGAAGCTATTGTCAGGTACCTGAAAGACTCCGATTTCGAATTATCTTTGGTACCTCGTGCAATGAATCGACATGAGACAGTGCGATGAGATTGTGAGTCGATAATGATTTTTTTAAATAAATAATTAATCCGTCAGTCTTTGAAGGCGGTTGCGATATTGCCGTGTCGTGTTTGAGGCAACGATCTTACTTATTCTACGCATTGAATTCAAGCGATATTTCGTTAATTGAAAAACGCTGTACTTGCCAACATATCGTTAGTGTAACAGGGAGTTAGTATTACGCGTATTTTAATAAAAGCTAAATAAGTTTTGCAAAAATTTCGTTTGACATGCCTGCTCCAACTTTCTACATAGTTTTTCAGGCCAGTCGACAGGAGGTGGACATTCTGGGAAGAATACGTAGTCAGCCTCGGCGGCTAATGCACCCACGATAGCCAGATACCTAGCCAAATTGATAACTTATTTATGGGATAGAACAAAAACCTGTCGAATACTATTCATTATCATCAAACCAAATATATACATGACGCATATTATAAAGTTACCTATAGTCGAATAATATCGCTATAAGATATGTATGCTGCTTGAAAAAAATTGTCTGAATTAAACTTACCCACAGTGACGACCCATGACCTCCATAATGAATGTCCGTTGATGTGAATAAGCTGTACTGACAATGGCATCGATGCTCTCAATTATTCTATGCAGAGCAGAATCTGTACCAATCGTCATATCGGTGCCACAGAAATCATTGTCAATGGAACCAACCAGACCAACGATATGAAGATGCAGATATTTTTCATATTGCTCTGCCGTGATGTCTCCTAATAAATAAAAGATATATTTTATATTATTTCTTGAGTCTAGATATTAGTAAATGAGATTGGATTCTTTTTAAATGAATGATTTACTGACCTGACTGACTGAGTTCTTTTAATAGCTCAGACCACTCTTCCTTGAAGAGATTGGCACCAGTAAGAGAACCATCACCACCAATGACTACCAAATTGGTAATTCCACGTGTTACCAAATTCTTGGCAGCTTTCCTGCGTCCTGCACGTTCCTTAAATTCCATACAACGTGCCGAACCTATAACCGTACCACCCTGGAAATATAACAAAGAATGGCATTGGTAAATGCTGAGATATTTATTATGAATGCTGTCAATGAATCTGTACCCACTCTGTGGATGATGCATGAGACAGATGACCACGTAGCCTCGACAATATTGTCTCCGCCATCTACCATACCCTGGTAACCTTCTTTAATGAAGAAGACCTTGCATCCTAAGTAAATACCCATTCGCACTACGGCGCGGACTGCAGCATTCATTCCTGCAATTGAATATGAAAATAGTTGTTCGATGATCTGATTGTCAGCAAGTACGATTGGATATTATTTATGATTGAATTAATAAATACCTTGAGAATCACCACCACTAGTAAATACAGCTAAGCCTTTGCCTTTATGACTGCCAGGCTTTATAAACCTTTGTGCTGCTTGTTCGTCTTCCATGATGCTTTCGTATATTTCTGATATTACCTGCAATATGAGATAAAATGATATGATGCAATTTTATAATGTAGATACCAAGGTGTTCTAGTTGAAAGAACTACCATTGTTAAGAATTATTGCACATAACAGTTCTTGTGAAATGTGTCTGTTCTTTGACTGATTCAAGTTTGCTGTTATTGTAACGTTTCTTCTAACACAATTATTATATCTGAATTGTATATTTTTATCCTACCACAGAATGGATTGCTAAAGATCGTGGAGTAGGATACATGATCCTACACTAGTTATAACTGCCTGCTTTTTAATGGATGCTTCAAATACTTAGCACGAAAAATCTTGAAGCTCTTGCGCATCTACATGGCTAAGCCAGCAGTAATTGGTTGAAACAGGTTCTACATACCATTCTTTTTCTTTATATACCTGTTTTGTATTTCATTGTGAAGTTAAAAAGAACGGGACTTAGTTGTTTTTGTGTAATACATGCTTTAAAAGAACGAGTATGTCCATATTATATAGTTATTTACCAATGGAAGATTGTATTAGCAGTTTACTTTTCAATCAATTTACTACCATTACTGTGCAGTTCATAGTCATTCTTCTAACAGGAATTATTATTCTTGCGACTTGTCCAAACTTGGTCATTCAAGCAAATGAGTTGTTACTTGCAACATATTTTAAAGAATGATAAATCATGGTTAATCAAGCTTTCAAACTGAATGATACTTCAGAATCAGCTGAAATCTCTGCCGATGATTCATTGCATTTAAAATTTTCTTTATGACTACAATATAAGTTCAATATTTTATCACTCCTATTAAAAATAAATTTCATGAAACCTCTCTTGGAATCATTACATTTATTGGAGCAATCGCATTGACAAATACCATGATTTTGATAAATGATACAAAAAACCATTAACGACCTAGTCGCATAAAAAAAAACAATAAAAATTTCATGATTTCATAAAAACAATGAAATTGCATTTAAAAAATTAAGAATAAAAAAATTTTATTTTCTGGCATTTTCAAGGTATGCATTGGTTTCTAAATTAACATGACTAAGTAAGTTAAGGTCGAAACAAGACAAGAAAATTAACTTTAAATTGTAGAGATCAGGGACGCTCAGTTTTTATATACATACATTCACGTATATTATACGTAATACCAAGCGTTGCTACAATTCATATTATAAACTTTCCTTTATTTTGTTCGCTGTTATGTTATGTAGTAACACAATATCTTTATTAATAGCATGTTTACAACCATCCAGAGACATATACATACATAACATTACGGCAATCACTATGCCAAGATCAAATCGACAAGGCAGTGAAATATCAACAGCAACAAACGTCAAATAAGATAAACATAAATCAAAGTAGAATCGTTAAATTACGACTAATCACAAAAGTTAATCACGAATCACTGTCAGATTTCAAACCAAATAAAACATCGGAATTCAAGAGCACTTAATATCCAACAAAAAGAAATCCTAAAACTTCACTTAAATGCACCTTATTACGTGCTTAAAAAAACCCGTCTTCACGAATCAAAGTATAAAGAGTTCCAATATCGTAAAACATAGCTACGAAGTCCCGCCAGTAGTATATTAAAAAAAAATATTACCGTCTTTACAGAAAACAACCGAAAATCGTAGAACGCCGCGTGCAGACGACACGAATTGTACTCGATACCGACTGTCAAGTCTTGATCGGTTTTCTGATAACAAAATTGAATGACTTACTCACCAATATCCAAATGAGTCACAAGTATTTCACGAGCAGTCTTGCTGTCCTGATCAATCAAGAGCTCGATGTCTTCTAAGCCGCTGTCAGACGTCACCTGCTCAACGTTTAGGCGTTTCAAGGTGACCTTTAGATTTCGCTCATGTTCTCCTCTCCCATGTTCCAACCAAAATTGCAGAAGTGCACGTAGATGGCGCCAGGGTGGCGAGCAACGACCAATCAGAAACGAGCATCGCTTCTGGTGGATTCTAGGAAGTTTCGTTTGAAATACGTTTACAATACCATTGACCCTTTTCAAGAACTCACGTAATTTCTTACGAAACTATAGCAATACTTAATAAATCGATAAAATAAAAAAAATGCAAATCCCTGAGGTACATACCACTCCCAATAATACTACTAATAAGATAACTATTAGATTCCATTCGAATCTTCGTACAGAAGTTTACTCGTATAATTAACACAAGAAATGGAAATATACCATTAACATTTGCTAATGACTACCAGGAGGATCGATAGCGTTACTTTTACATCAATTCTATACTCCCCATGTTAATTGTCTCCCTGAACGATCCACACGGACCATAAAATCTCTGTGAAAGTTTGCCCTCTTCATTTTCTCAAAATCGACCAATCTGTCTCAAGTAATAAATTTATTCATCTTACCGTACTTCATTATTTAATGACGCAATCTTCGTCTGTCCTTCGAGTCCAGCAAAATTCAGTTGTTCAGTGTTCGACGAAATACCAATGAGTACGTGATGAGAACCTCGTTCGCCGTCAACCTTTTTCCTAGTTGTCTGTCCCTTTCTACTAGACATACGTTTTTAGCTTTATATGAAACCGCCAATGAACTTCACTGACACACCACAAGTATCCGCGTTGTCGCAGCAAATATATAACTATACTGTACATTTAAGGCTTCCATGTACTACATATATGTATAATAAATACATAGGATATTTCTACCTGATACTACGAGAAGAAAAATGACTACTTCAATCCGCAACGTGATGAAATCGTTAATCTTTTTGAATATCCGTCACAATTCTTTGTCCAGCATTTCTTCTACGTTCTCTCTGTTTTTCGTCTGCTACTGAAATTGGGAAAATGAGTTGACGCTCCAAAGATCGCTTTTACAATTTTATTTACAAACACCACCTCGCCAAACTCAATATATGCGTCTTGCTTGAATTTTTTAAATGTATATGTACCTTGTTTCTTCATTTAATTACTTTTTCCTTCTCCCGCTTCCTTCTTTGTATCTATTTAAAACGTGTAACTATTTGATTCAAAGTTCGACCTCGATTATATATATAGGATATATATATGTATAACAGCGAGGACGGGGAACCAGCTACGAATTGACTAAATTTTCAAATAAAATAAAAAACAAAAAACTGTTATCTAAAAAGATTAATTGCAGCGACAAGAATTTTTTAACCACCCCCTCTGACCTTTCCACGTCGGCATTCAAATTTTTCACTACGTTTTTTTGCACCAACTCGATGCAATCCTAATATCTTATTATATAATTACTCATCGGCAAGCGGATACAGTATATCGTCCGTTTCCGACTACACGGAATGTCAGACTAATATTTTTCCACTTACGAATTCTAAAATCGTCAAACCGCGTGAAGTTGGTCGCAAGATCAAACGCCTTGTGGAAAAATTTCATTTCGTAATTACAGCATTCGTATATTCGTCGAGCAAAAATTCTTATCTTCGTGATTTAACGGTTCTCTAGCAGCCACTTCCGGTTTTTATTGACGATACCACGTTACACTCGTAAAAAAAAAAAAAAAAAAAGAAAACTCCGACTTGGCAAGGTCGCGATTTATAAATGTTGTCGCCACTAACCGAGTAAATGTACTTATGCAACTTGAAAGGAAATTTGAAAAAAAATCTACGTCTAATAAACGCAGAGACTCTCAACCTTTCAACTTCATTATCGGAAATACATTTTTACCGAATTTCTTTTAAACGTTCAACGACTCACATTCATTGTCTAATTCCTTAGGTTGAGAATCACTGAACTAACATTTATTTATCTAATCTGACAACGAGTGACGGTTAATCGTACCGCGAATTTCAAAAGCACCCTCTAATGAATTTCTCGGGTAGTTTCTTATAGATTTTTTTTTCTTTAAGTTTTCACTGTTCATTGCAAAAACGTATCCCTCGTATCTGCTACACGTACAAATTGTGCAAAAGATCTCGCAGCATGTTTATAATCGATAGGCCCTTCTTTTTTCGAAAAGGCACGTACATATATAACACATGCGTGTATATATTTATATATATACCATTGGACATGAAATAAACGTAAGTCACACCTACGACAATGTTATATAAACGTCGCGAGCAAATATTATGCGAATAAGAAGCCATCTCATGGAAATATCAGAATCCCACGTAACTTTTCAATTTTCAAAATCTGACATATTTATTCGCGGATTTAAAAGTACCGGTGACCATACTGATTATCGTACCCCATTTCCTTACCTAACACCTTTGTTATGTAGATTGAAAGATAAAACCTCACCCCGTATACAGAGACGGCTAAACTTTTTGTTTGGTCTGTTTTCTATGTATAATTAATACGGGACGCCAAAGAATCGCTGTAACGTAATTTTATTTAATAAAAAAAAAATTCAAATTTGAATCCAGTGAAATTGACAAAATTATTCTACCCTAATAGGGGCTAAGGGTGAGTAGGAATAAATTTGTGGAGTAGCAAGAGAATTTCATTACCTGTTTGATTGGCTCAATCCCACTGGGATCCTCGGGTAATGTTACAATAAACCTAACCTAACCTAATGCTGATTCGTCTAAAAATTGAAAAAGTTAATAACTGTATAATTGCTATTATATTATTGGCAAGCCTGCTTGAATTACTGTAAGTTTGCCAACCTGCCCCCTATCGCAGCCGCTTGTGGCTTATAAAAATGCACTTGACTAACGTTGCACGTTGGTACGTCGATGGCTTCGCAAAGCAATACAGCCGTGGTATGGTTTTTTTCAGACATTTTATCAGAATTTATTATTTCGTGTAAACGTTTATAATAATTATAATTTACAATTACGATGGTTGATGATAAATACAAATAGAACAACGTAATTCAGGACAAGGACTCGTGATATTCTTTTTTGTTGGAAGTGTAAGAGTAGGGTAGTGGTGGCTTTCGTGTGATAACGTCGACTTGGGTAAAAGATGACGTGGTGGTCGTTAATAATGTAACGTAATTAATAATAATTATTATTAAGTGATTTTGTGATCGGATGCATTTTTTTTTTTCGAAAAAAGAGTACATGTGGGTGATTGGTAAGTGAGGGGAAGGTGGGGTTTGGATAAAGCAGCTAAAAAACTTACAGCGTACACCGATCGAGGGATATGAAAAAGTAAAAATGGTGTCAAAACATAGGGGCAGCGGGAGGAATAAGTCAAAGAAAAATAATAAAAATATGACACAAAAATCGTTCCCTGACGAATGAAAACGGTTCGATGAGCGACCGAATGATACATATAAAAGTGAACCAAAAAAAAGCAACTTTTTTCAAAAATCATACCCAACGAATGACCAAGGTAAGACGTATACAATAGAGTATAGAGTATGTTCGAGGGTTTCCGTGATTTTGGGCCTCCCTTTACCGGGACTCCGGGACACCTTTTGGCTCGAAGATTGGAATTTCACTCAGAGAGGTTTTTTTTTGTTCCAGGACTAAGAGAGGAAGAGGGACACATTTTGGAATTATTCCAATTGTTCTTCGGTCGCCATTAATCAGAAAGACATATAAATACATCTCAGGGCCCATTGCGCGAGAATAAAACCCGAGAGGACCCAACCGGAAGGATCAGACCCAATATCGATCAGTCCCGCCCAGCTGGCCGCTTATTAACGACTCTCAAGTATCCATTGAGCAAGAAATAACTAATGACGCGTTAATTAAAAAAAAAAAAAGGTAAACCGGGGATAAAAAAACCAAAAATTTGAAAAAGAGCCTCATCGGGCAGAGCGACCCTTTTTGATCTCCTATTCGTCCCATGTACATAATACGCAAAAAAAGAGGATTCATCTGGACCCGTTTAACTGTGGTAGGACAAACCGTATTTTAATCTCCATCCTTTTGATTTTCACTTGATTGGTACTAACGACGCGAAACACAATCGAGACATTAAAATTTGTACGACGTTTTTTTTTCTTTCGACAGAGACACCGAACATCGAAAATACCAACACGACAGCAAAACGTTTGCCCAAAAAACGTATATATCAATTATTTATTTGTATCTGAAATATACACATGGAAGAGTGTGGGTAGGAAAAGGGGACGGGACAGAGAGACAGAGAAATGCGGATAGACAGAATAAGAGACAGAGAAGCAGAAGAGCCAAAGAACATTGGTACGTGTGGTTAGTGATTCTGATAGTGCACGTGTATATACATATATATAATAAATAGTATATACGTATGTGTATATATACGACAGTCGGAAATGATCCTTAGTCATTAATATTTTAATTAACCTTCGTTTCTAATAAAAACGCGTCTCCTCCGTTAGGTAACGGCTGATCCAGGAAAAAGATGTAGAATTTAGGTTAAGCAGGTGAATCGGGGTGTAATGGATACGAGGCTGTAAATGGGAGTCGTTATTACTCCGAGATAATAGTGAATTCTCGTGCCAGATTAAATGAACGTATGAAATATCGCGAGGGAAATTACGTCTGTCGACGTAAGATCTTCGATCCCTTTACACGATGCGTATAAGAGCCGATAATTAAATTCTATAAATATTATTATCCTTACTTGTTGATGATCTTCGAGAATCTTTCAAAATTCCTACATCCTTTTTGCTTCTCAATTGTCTCTCTCGCTGTGAATCCCTTCGGAAAAAGAACTTTAATCGCGCGCCGAAGTAACTTAACCTCTTTCTTTTTTCCTTGACGTTCGTCTTACGTTCGACAGGCTCGACACCTCGATTATACCCTACCGTCCGTTGGAAAAGATTTAAAAATGAGTGAAATTTTTAACGGAGGAAAAATTCGAAAAACTCGATGACGTAATAAACGATCGTGCTTTCCTTTCGATTATTGATTCGCGTCTCTTCTGTGCGTCACGATCTTATAAAGTGAAAACGTGCTAGCGAGGTGGAAGGATTCGCACAACAAAAATATACACATACAATTTGCATTTTTTTTTTTCTTATCTTGACCGCAACATGAATTATTATGTAGTGGTAAATATCTCTGGCATATATATTATCATATATAATATATAAAGAGGTTGGGTAGATGACAGGGGAGTAAGGTAGCAGGACAGGGAAACAGAGTATTATCGCTAATTGGATTTTGAATATCAAGAGGGAAGAGGGAGGGGGGACAACAGGAAATTTTTGATCTTCAGATTTTTTTAGGGCGAATCTTCATGGGAGACATTTTTCCTAATTATCGATGGCAGAGTATGATCTATTAAGAATTGCGCAAGTAGTCTACAACAGTGGCTATTCCTACTTTTCTTAGACTTTTCTCTTTTTTCTTTCTTTCTCGGCTATCACCACCCGCTAAAAAAAAACACGCGTCTCCTTCTGTCGTTCGATCGTGTCTTTCCGCGTGAATCTCGACGCGACAAAACAATGATAAAAGCGGAAAGTGGGTGAAAAAGTGTGACGTCGATGGTCGTGAATTAACTCTATTCTCCTTGTCTTTCTTGTCGGGGAAATTCAGTTCTCGCGTTATATATTGTTTGTATGTAGGGTAGTTGCGGCAAAACGTCCGGTTGAGATGCGTATCGTGTGTGTACAACCAAGTTGCGTGTCGTTCTGCGAAGCAGCGAAAGAGAAAAGTTATAAGAGAGAGAGAGAGAGAGAGAGGCAGGGAGAGAGCGGTGAAATGCTTTTACCGAATGCGAAGAGAAAGAAGAAAACAATATAAATGAGAAAAAGAATCACGTTTTTGCCCCCCATTTACAATCCTCACAAATATACAGGTTGAGGGGGAGGGGAGGTTGTCTTTTTTTTCACAGTGTAATAAAGTGTCGTTGCGTCCATGTTAATGCATGCTGTGTTGAATACGAAATTAAGTTACCACTGATGTTTGTTTTGGAACTTAATAACTTAATGTATTTTTTTTTTAAACTCTCCTTTCTCCTCCTGCACTCTTTCCTTTCATATAATAATATCGTACTCGCTAGACAATGTGAAATTTTTAATTTAATGACAACTGGGTATAATGTAGTAGTATCATACGTTGTTTGTTGGTTTCAATTATTTTGTTTTCCTTTAAATCTTTTTTTTTTTGCTTTAGCATTATTTAGGTGGTAAAAGTAAATAGAGATTGGATAGCGATAAGTTGGTTGATTTTGCTTTCTTCCATATCTTATTCCATGCATCCTCGGTTATTTCCACGGGCGTTTTCTCTCGCACTGAAAACACGCGGAGGGATCCTTGCGATTCCTTAAGCTCTTCCGTTAGTGAAACTCTAATTCCAGGAGGACGTGAATAAAGTCTGCCGAATTCTCTGATATTAGCACATCCGGTATATAAAGCCAGTGTTCCTCGATATCGAATCCTCTATATTAATTTTTCTCTTGTGCTTCCCCTCTAGGGTCTTTCTTTCTTCGCCCTTTCTTCCGTTCTGTCTCCTGTACCGGCGAACGACGTACGAAACTCGCACGTGACCATCCTCTCAATGTCCCACATAATATTAACACCTTACGTTCACATACTTTTGGTACGGGGGCATTACTACCAAATAAAATAGACACGACATCGGTTTACGGCCATACGCCAACTTTTTCATCTTCCTGGTCTTGTTATATCCCATCTCTCTCGTTCATCGGTCTCTCGCTGCTAAATCTCTCTCTCTCTCTCTCTCCCTCTCTCTCACACTCTCTCAGACGTGGAACATTATGGCATTCCTTGCAGTCCCATGATGACAATGGTAAAATAGGTATTGTACGTGATCAATGATCCTTGGTTGGATAACCGGTGGTTGCTTATGCGATGAATATGGGTGCCGTACGGCGCCAAAGAAATAGTCGTGTTAACCGACCGTCTCTCAGTTGTCTATCTTCTCTTTCTCTTCGTTCTCGACGGAGAGCACGTACCATCCATGAGTTACAAGTTCAAGGACTGATCGTCATTGTCCTCGGTGAACTGCGCCCTCTCCTCGCTCCCTGGTCTCTCTCCTTGTTGCATTGCTCTCCAATCAGCAGGATGCGCGGAATCGATGACGGTCGCAGAGGAACGATGATCACTTGGCCAACGAGAAAAGGTGGTCCAGTGGGTGTCTTCTGGTGGAGCGGCGGCGGCAGCAGAGCAGGGACGTGCGGTGATGCCAGGAGAGAGGTCAGTCTCCGAGGAGGAAGAGGAGGAGGAGGGTCAAGGAAGAAACAGAAGCTAGGAAATGAAAGGTCAGGACTGATTTTAAGGTCAGCCAGAACGTAAGACAGGTTTTGAAAAGGAGGTTGGCCTCTTTTATGATGGTCGGCTGGGCGGTTTTGGTTGCTTGGTGTGGTGGTCAGGGGGGTGGCTTTTTTTTTAAGGGATGGGAACGATAGAGAATAGGATGTTTTTATTGGGTTAGAAAGGGTAGGACTTAAGCTTAGGAGGGTTAGTTATCGCCGCCCTCCTGTGGTTCGTCCCCGTCGCCCTGCGTGTCACTGGTCCAGAGAGTGAGGTTATCACGCAGCAGCTGCATGATCAACGTGGAATCTTTATAGCTGTCCTCGTTCAATGTGTCCAACTCCGCAATCGCGTCATCGAACGCCTGTCAAAGGAAAAAGAAAAGGATCAGCATCTTCAAATCATTTTTCTGCCAACCATTGCAATCATCGGCATCTTCCAAACATTCTGAACTAGCCCGTACTACAGACACTGATGCTGCACAAGAGACAGCTCAGCTTCGGATTCCCAAAATATTTTCAAAAATCATAGCTAGAGACTTCTCTCTTGGCAACCTGCTCGCAAGTTACACAACACCTATATGCACAAGCTCATTCGCTTTTACGCTGTCCTCACAAAAAACAATAGTGCATCCGGGATGACAGAGTTGCGACGGGTTGCCAAGAGATGTCGGTAAGAAGAAGTTGCACGCTTAGCGTATCCGCCCATATTTTATCCCTACGGTTAAAAGAACATGGAGACGGGGGATGGTTAGTGGCACAGTGGAGACATCACAGCGAACATTCTGACAGTCGGTCTCTGGTGAGTATGGCCGTCGCAATAATTGATCTTTGTTATGTATTAGTAACATCCACCCGCAAGCTTACAAAAGAGCAGAACCAGAAGGAAAAATTGAAAAGAAGAAGGTCGAGGTTGAAAACAATAAGTAGTAGCACTGCTGAGGTTGCTAAAACTTGACTATAGTCAGTCTCAGTCAAAGGCATTGAACCAAAGGATGTAAATAAAGAAAAATAAAAAAAAAAATAAAAATTTTTACAGAAACCGTAAACAGTCCTTCGATGCAGTTAGTGTCATAACTGTCACAAAATGGCGAAACAAATTTAACGTTCAAAAAAAAAAAAATACAAAACTAACAGTAGTACACGGTGTTGTTAGGGACAACGGTATTACCTACGAGAAGACTGCCGCTTACGAAAATCCTTCATAGACTCTTTGACGCGATATTTATAGCATCGACTAGGAGGGAGCTCGAAAAGTGAAGAAACCGGTTCAGACCATTTTTTTCTCTCCTTTTATCCAGACGTTGGACTCTTTGTCAGGCACTTATAAAATAAACGCTTCGTTAAAAAGCATTGGCGCCTTTGCAACTGGCGATGATATTATCGGCAAACTCCTTAGACCGGGTCGGGATCAAAGCCCGGAAACGACCTTAGATTCGTGTAAATTGTGGACCGATAGATGTATATGTTACCATCCGAAACACCATTAACGCGTGGGGGCAAAGGGTGGCTTAGGCCTTCTAGGTTGACGGAGCCGTAAGATGCTAGGTTTTTGGTTATGAAGGGTTTCAAGGAAGTTTTCTTATCGTGAACGAGCAGTCTTTCCCCTGGTCTTGTCAGGCCGAGCAAGAAATTTGGTGGATTTAATGGAGTTAAAAAAAAAGATTGAGCTAAGTAGCAACAACAAAAAACTAAAATAAATAATAACCATCTATACGTTAATATAAAAATGATTAAAAAAATATATATATATATATACAAAAAAAAACTCCAAGCACAAATCCTAATCCAATCTAACCTAACCTGCTTGGCCAAATGGCAAGCCCTGGCCGGGGAATTAATAATTTCGTAATAAAAAACGGAGAAGTTGAGGGCAAGGCCCAGCCTGATGGGATGTGTCGGCTGCATTTTCGCCTTCGCTATGTCAAACGCCTCCTGGTATGCCTTCTGTGAGTCTTCGACGACCGCTGCAACGCAAACGTAACCGACGATTCATTGAGACTAATTGGATTCGCGACAGTCTGTCAAAATTTCAGGATTCAACCAAAAAAAAAAAAAAGTTGACAATATTATACTTAAGTCCTAGATACGACCGATCTAACCAAACGTCTCGTGCCAGAGTAACTAGGATCTTTGTGCACGAACAATCGTTATCGATCGTCGTCACAGTGCGTTCTATTTTTTTTTCAAATCTTCATGGAAAAAAAAGACCCGTAAAAGACTTCAGACCTGATCAGTCCCTTGTGCTTCCTTCGCATTCGTCGCCGCCAGGACGACAAAAGCCGGTGGCGCCGCCATCCGGGAAGATGGAGAACAAAAGGAAAAGAAGCCAAGCGAGCAAGGGTCATGGCGAAGATAAAGAGCGAATCCTGGACTGGCACGAGTGTTTGTTCGGGATAGATAAGAAAGAGAAAGAAAAAAAAAAGTAACAAAGATACGGAATGAAAGCAGGAACGAGGATCAGAGTGTCTCCAGCAGCAAGCAGCCAATTTGTCATCGTCACCCTTGTCAGCAATCCTCATCATCGTCATCGTCACCATTGCACCACCACCAATCTCCCATCGTCACCATAATATCCACAAGTCCACCGTTATAACCATATCTAGCATTTGGCCCATTGCTATAACGGCTGGTGTTAATCTGTACCTGTTTGGCCAGTTGGCAGGCCTTGTCTGGGGAGTTGAGAATCTCGTAATAGAAGACGGAGAAGTTGAGGGCGAGACCTAGCCTGATCGGGTGAGTGGGCTGCATCTTTGCCTTGCTGATTTCGAACGCGTCCTGGTATGCCTTCTGGCTGTCGTCTACCACAGCTGAATTTTTTTTCGAGTATGGCAAAATAGAGAACCGTAGCATTAAACAGGTACAATGTGTGTACATTGATAATTACATAATACAGAAAATAAATCCAATTAAAAAGTAGACAAAGTCCCATGGATGATATCAAAGGAGGATCAAAAGATCTGTGGGCTATACACGAAAATACATATATAATGCAATATCAAAGAATGATAACAAGTATCGGCACATCGTTAAACGAATAACAAAAATGTCAACTTCAAAACTTCAATAATCTATATACTAGTTTCAATAAATTCGTCAATGTACTACATAGATATCAGGCTAATTTATCTCACTTTCTTGAGAAAAAATATCTTATAGGCTCTTACACTATATCGGCCGTGCACAAGAAGACACGGCATGATTTTTCAGACAGATAGCAAATACCCAAACCAGCCTAAGGATGTGCCGGTACGTTAAGGAGTAACAGCTGCATAGGACAGCTGGCTGCCCCGTCAGATGGCAGAGAACTCAAATATGTCGAATGAACTTTCTTTTATCTTGGTGGGCCACGGTATTTGGACAGTGTACACTTTCGAAGATACCAACATGAATCCAGGGCAAAGATATCTCATGGTCCACCGAAAAATAAAAGAGAGCATTACAACAATAACCAAATTTGAGAATCAGGTAAATACTTAAAAAAAAAATCAGGTCATGTATCCAAAATACGTACCGTTTCTGGTCTCGCCAGTGGCGACCTCTGCAAGATACCTGTAGTAGTCACCCTTCATCTTGAGGTAGAATACTTTGCTCTCAGCATTGCTGGCCTTGGGGATCAGGTACTTGTCCAGGAGTCCCTGCAACGTAACGACACCATCTTCCTAAATAAATCGTTCACCGCATAAGCAAGTCTTAAGGCGAAATTACCAATTTGTGTATCGGATACAGGGAGGACTTTAAAAAAGAAAATACCTAAAGATCACTGAGCCACAAAAGTATCAGAGTCCGAGTCTCGTGACTTGTAATCCAATCCAAGGGCGAGAAAAAAGAATCATGGATAAACTTAAGCATGGCTCAAGTTACTCTCATTGATCGATCCATCCACTATCATAACGCATGGTATCCCCATGGTCAAAGGACACCGGTTGTTATTGGTACAGCAGTTAAATAATTAACGGAAGCACCTATAGGTTTACATGAATGTCTACTGAGTTCTCTGGTCAAAGCAGATGGGACACGCAGATCCCCTTTGACATAGATCAAAAGATCCAGACAGCCATTGTACTCGGTACTGTGATTAGCTTAGTCTCTACTCTATTTCACGTATGCAACTACGGATGTATCCTCGTCCAATTAATCTCGATTAATTAATGCTCACGCGGTGTAAATTTTAATGAGCAACTACGCAATACATTCCTAACGTTAATGTTCGATAGAATATACCGGCCTGGTACTTTTATCATTTATGTATACCTGCATGCGAGATACATTGGGTATATATGTATATATAAAAGAAAACTAAGCACACTTGTTCCCTCGTTAGTAGTAAATATATACTAGTATTTGCATAAGGCAGGTAATCTCGACGTAACCAGGTGTTTGCCAAAGCGATGACGCGTACCTGACGAAATTCGCTTGCAAATTAGCACAAAGGCGCTTGTGACAATTTGAAGAAAGAGTCCCGTCATAGAAACGTGGAGTAAAATGGATTTTCAGTTTGAATTAAACTCGTAGCGATAACAAGAATTGCAGAGATGGATGCCCAGTGGAATTTTATAATCAAGGGTCATTAACTTTAATGACAAAACATTGGATTTCCTTGTTTCTTCAATAGCGACCTGTTATCTTGCATTTATTCTTATCCGCTTGTGAAAACACTTCATCTTCCTAAAACACTTGCCAGTTAATTGATCTTGCGGTTTTTGAGACGTTTAATAATTTCTGATACAATTTTGTATGCTGGTCGAGGCAGGATATTTTTAAAAAAATCCTTTATCGAGAAACGGATTATTATCATCATTATTGACCATCCAACTCCAAGGTAAGTCAATCACGTTTCAGCAGAGCCTTGCTCCAGTTTCATCGTTTGTTACCAGAGGGCAGCTCTGAGCTCTTCTAGCCTGTCCTAGATCAATCCGTAGATTAATCACGTATTGCGAATTGAAGTTTACGGGTGAAACCAACTGTTACACCTTGGAAGGACGACGAAGTTGAAATTTACGTGAAATGTCAATAATTGTTGTTCGTAAGTCATAATGGTTGGAAACTCAAGTAAGATTTGACTTTTGACATTTGACGCTCCAATATTTCCAATTGTAAAGGTACGTTTGCCTGGCCAGGCGTGTCACTTCCGTTTCCGTTTTGCGTCAGCTTCCGGATTCTGTAGCGAACATCAAACAAGAATTACATACAATCCACGAACCCATGAGAATATCTACGGGGTCGGCCTTTTTCCTTGACATTTTTTTTTTTCGCTATACCGTTTACGGCCTATCATTCAATCGAGATTCTCGCGTTGAACAGACACTAAAAATAAATGACACCAACGACCAGAAGCGAAAGCAGCGATCCTTGATAAATAGATAGATTGAAGTTTATTGCTGTCTGAAAATAAATCCTCTAACCACTCGTCAAGCAGGAATGAGTGCCCAGATACGCGGGGTAATCAAATGGGTCGTGTAATCCGTTAGGAGATCCGCGTTCTGTGAGTACCCAAAAAAAAAAAAAGAAAGTTAATTCCTTATTTACAAAATTGATAGACAATTTCGACGAGAGCATTAATCGCTACCGACTAACCCGTATTTATAGACTGTAGACGAAACTGTTCAGCAATCAAAACAGATCTTAAGTATCGAACTAATCAAGAAGTCAAGCTGCCATTGAACTCTGCGTATCGACTGTACTCTGCATATCGCATAATGCCCGTCACATATCTAAACGCCAACTCACATAATCGATAACAAGCCAGACATTGGATATTAACTGATAATCCAGACCGAAAACGTACGAAGAAGAATTAGTCCCATTTGCCCATCCATTTCCGGTGCGTAGGCCGTTTCGCAGATAGTTATATAATGACTACGGCATAAAATGCGCAATAACATGAAGTCATCCTCCATTTGGAAAAGAGTCGCGTTAGCGGGCATCCGACTAATTTCAATTCGTCACCCAAGTAACTAATTGCGCAAGCGACGAGGCTCGGTGACAGCCGTCAAAGCGAAGCCTAAGGAAAAACGAGGTCCGAAAAAAAAAACCTCAAGAAAAGTAAATATTTTCCCTGCTACGGCCCAAAAATTTCTCCCTGCATATCCGTCATCCCCAAAAGTCTTCACAGCCTGGCATCCCCAACACTTCCAGCAGTCTTCATCCACGTTTCCACTATAATTCCTCTATCCTTCGGCTTGGAAGCAGCACGTGCGCAAGGATGCACTGGATACGTTTCTTCGTGGCTGCAGGACGAAGTAGAAAACACTGTAATTGACCCGTGTGAAATTCAAGACAGAATATTTTCTTCTCATACCGTGCTGAACGCCCTTCCATAGGCAGTGGTGCCGAGCCTCCTTCCCCTCTTTCCTCATGGTCGCCATGGTAACACGACAAGATCCTGGAACTTGACTAAAGAAGATCACACTGCACTTGTAAGATGATCCTCTGGCGTGGATGCATACCCTGGTGTTGCTTGCGAACAAGTTACAGACTATCAGACAAGATGACACCGCCTGTGTCCTTCGGCCTGGTTGACTGTGTCATCTTCACGGCATTAATTATCATCAGGGATGATTACAGTGGAAGATAGAAGATAAAGGAATGGCAGAGATGATTTACCAAACGAATAATTGTATCTTGATGTTGGTACAGATAGGAGTGTCGATTCTCTTCCATAGAATGACTCTGCCGTTTTCTCCTACGTACAGTCGCGACCAAATCATCAGGTCTTTGCGCCAGCCCTGAGGACTTATATGGCAAACAGGAAGCGACAGTTAAACGTTTGGCGCATTATAGCTGCAGGCTGTCGAAGACGTAAGGCGAACGTCAATCAGGTTTCTCCACAGAGTCCAAGGTCTATAAGTACCTTCATCCATGGTAGATGCGCAGTCGAAGTGAGCTTCGCTTCTGTCATCTTCCTTGCTCTGTTTACCTTCTCATTTTATTTCCTTGCAGGAGACGAGAGTCCGATCGAAATTGAAGTTCTTCGTCCAAGAATCTAGGTCGTTCACACCAGGAGCTCAAGGCATTTCCCAATTATGGAAATACCATAGCGCAGCAATTTCTGTAGGAAAGCTCAGAGAAATTTTTTCTTTTCACACCAAGAAAAGGACTTCCCATTCTTCCTCTACATTGATGTTATCCATACGTAAGAAAAGATGATTGAAAAATAACCTGATTTCACTTCAGAATATTTTACAAGCCATACCAAGGTAACTCTCGTATTGGCAAGATTAACTAGTTGAATATCAAGGTCAGGTGTTGCCCAGGTGGAACCCAGGTGTACCAACCATACATACCCACTATGTATACCCAGAACTTGAATTATAGATTAGAATTGGTCGGCCGACCTATTTCACAGGAACAAATAGAACTAGTCGTTCGCTTCCCGACACAAAGGTTGTATCAACGTTAATAGACAACCTATAAATCATATAAATCGCTAAACCCCCGTGTTACTCAAATAGGACAATTACGCGAATTGACCACAAATCACACGATTCCTTGACCCACGAATAAGTGGTTCCCACCAACCAATGTCCAGCACTCGCGGGTCACGTGCCTAAATCGCGCGACGGGGTCGTCCAATTTTATTTTCGTTAAGACGTTATTAAACATTGTAACCTTCATCCTTATACTTCCCGGCGGAAATTGAAGGGGCTCAACATTTAATAAGTACACCATATAAATGGCCCAGTCAATATTTAACGAAATATCGCACAAGGCATTCCTGTGTTCAAAAAATCTCTGGGGAAATCATTGGCCATTTTTCGTTACTTCCTGATATCACCTTACGAAACAATATACAGGGTGTCTAAGTTAACCTGTAGAATTTCAAATTATACCCAACGTGTGTCAGTGACGAATTAAAGGCTCTAGCAGGATAGAGGCATAGTCAGATGAAACAGACTGTATACGTCGATAATCTAATCGTGACCAATTGAATCAACGTGTACCAAAGGAGTTAACCACCCAGAGTATTTTCTTAGCTTATCGATAACTCCTCAGAAAGGCGATGATAAACTATCAAGACCCACATCGCATATTTAACCAACGACGACTACGTCATCCCGTGACACGGGTCGCAAGGAATGCAATTGTGCAAATAACGACAGTCCGTAAACGTGACGCGCCTCTTCCTCATTTTTGTTTTTTCCCTCCTCATTTCTATGACATAGGAGAATTATTGTTCGGCGCGAGAGGTCCATATAATACGTGTTTACTATCTAGAAGCGTAAGTAGCCATTTGTCATCTCGCCTTCAAAGTCGCGTTAAAACTGTGCCAAGTCGAGCTGCGAGTAAGTGGCGCACGTGAGTACACAAAAGTATTGGACACTAAAGATACACCCGGTTTGCATGAATCCACTGAAGCCTGTGTACAAGACCTGAATGGTTTGTCATCGAGAGAATAACAAAGAGAAGAGTAAAATGTGTTAATTGAAAAGAAATAATATTATCTGCGTCCCTGACAGAAAACACGTAGTTACCGACCGAGTCGAGAAAACGTGTACAAAAGAGTATGAATTTTTCATAGAGAACAAATATAATAACACAGAAGGTCTTCCCCTCTGCTCATGAATAATATCGAAAAGTATGAGACAGAGGGGGAAGAGCAAATAGAAATCCGTCCAGTTTTTTTTTTTTTTTTTTCCAAGTCATCAGGAAGTTCCTTATATATGAGAGGAAGGTCCAAGGAGGTGTGGAGAGTAGTCCTGTATCCCCGTAGGGCTACAGTGGATCGGTTCCTCGAGTACGGGGTACATGAAAGAGAAAATTTGAGGAAAAAATAAACATACGGTTGGAAAGTAGGAAAAGCAAATGCTTAAATACGTTTTAAACAGTTACCAGAACGTCGTAGCAGATCTCGCGCAATTCCTTCTCAACCTTTTCCCGGTACTCCTTGGCCATCTGCTGTTTGCGCTCGGAGCCTTCGGTCTTCTGCTCAATGGAGGAGATGACCCGCCACGAGCTGCGCCTTGCTCCGACGACGTTCTTGTACGCGACGGACAGTAGATTCCTTTCCTCGTTCGAGAGTTCAACCCCCGTTTCGGTGACAGCCTTCATCGCGGCTGCCATGTCATCGTACCTCTCAGCCTGCTCGGCGAGCTTTGCGCGCTGCACCAGTTCCTCCTTGTCCACGGACATTGTGTCAGCTGTAAAATGAAAGAAAAAATTAATTCTCAGGTAAATCAGAAGAAACTTTGAAAAAGAAGAAAAAAAATTCTCTACAGTCTCTCTGTCTCCATCTGATGCTTGAGGCAGGTCGTACCTGGTCTAAGTGACCTAGCAAGCTCAGCTACAGTAAACTGTAGGTAATTTGTGCACCCAGTATATCCAAGGATATAAAAAATCTTTTATCCACCGACTGAATAAAGGATCCTTTGCTACCCCAGGTCCTAAAGGTAGTTTCTGGTATGAAATACCATAGACTACAAAAACGGTATTAGAACCGTCCCGGTGAAAGCCTCGAACCCAGAGTCCCGTTCGGAGTTCAGGAAGAAAGCAGTGTTATTGGACCTGAATTGAAATTTACGCAATGTACAGTGTACCATGTCGATGATCATGTTGGCTTTGAGGAAGGATCCTTTTAGAATACGGTGGACCGGTATGCAGTATATGAAAGGATACGGACACGTGAAGCGCATTTGAGGAATGGCCAGCTGCCGAGTGACGCCTACATATTCAAGAAGCAGACTGGGGTACCTTTCCACTCTGGATCGTAAAGTAACCTGGGCATCCTACAGGGAAGGTCCCGTTTGCAAAGGTGGCAGCCACTGCTGAACACGAGAATAATATTTCAGCTACAGGAAATAGAAACAGCTATCCAAAGAGTGAACCCGGTCACCTCGGCTCGGACCCAATGAAATTTTTGGCAATGATTACCCAGCGGAATTCGCAACCAGTTGTTTCACTGAAATTCTTCACCGGGACAAGATCATCGGCTGAGCTCGGTTCATTGGCACAGCAATGATTTCCCAGTGGAATTTTTGGTGAATTAAAAATTCCCCTTACGATTTCATTCATGCTTGTGGCCTATGGAGAAGGTGGACTCTGAGAGAGGTTAGAAAAGATATCTGGAAAAAAATTCCATTTCCCGGATAAAAAAAAAATGTCGGCTTGAAAAGGGGTACTGGTGTCTGGTGGCATTTCCATGGAAATCGAAAAATAAGTGGAGGCTGAATTTTTTCCTTGGGATTTTAGATGAGGTCGACGAAGAGGATCAGGATGAGAAGTGAAATTCTGAAATCCTGAGACAAGGACGATGTTGGATTCATTTTTTTTTTTTTTTTTGTATAGACAAAACATTTTTGTGGGAGACAAAGAAAAAAATGAAAAAAAAAACGTTTCACAATGCACGCCATTTCTCTTTCGTAAAATGATTCCCCAGGCTTTTTTTTTAGAAAAATTTTTTTTTTTTTTTTTTTTTTTTTTTTTTTTTTTTTTTGTATAGACAAAACATTTTTGTGGGAGACAAAGAAAAAAATGAAAAAAAAAACGTTTCACAATGCACGCCATTTCTCTTTCGTAAAATGATTCCCCAGGCAACCATTACGGATAACTGCAAGCTTTCACTGACCGACGTCTAAAGTCACGGAGAAAGTCATTGACAATAGCGTAACGATAACGACTTGATAAAAATGCATAAATAATAAAAAATATTAATCTGACTTTGATTAACGCGTCGCCCTATTTACGTGACACCCGTTATATCCAGTCAAAAGTGAATTTAATTATATTTTATATACACGTAAACTACTCAACGTGCCTTCGGCCATTTCTCTTTGTCAAAGATCACGCAACAATGGCTTCGACGAAAATAGCGCCTATTTCTTTAGAGACCCAAGATTCCCTTCTGACATTTAAGCCAAGAGAAAAGACACGAAAGACCAATTATCCAGATCGATTTCGTACCCTCTTCCTCTTCCGGGCATTTAAGCACACCTATTGACAGGATCCTCCCACGAAGAATTCCCTAAAGGAAATCCTGTCCCTCGACTTCAAAGAACAAGATCGAAGTTTGTTCCGAAAAGAAAAGGAAAAAAAAAAAAGGTCTCAAAGTTCAATCCAAAAGAAATAATTTTAGCATCGTCGTACAAGCACAAAAAAAAATAATCCAAAAGTAATCCAAGCGCGTCAATCGGTTCAGTATCTAAGAGACGGCCAAATTTGAAATTGGCCAAAGTTCCCGCCACTGGCCAACGAAAAACTTTCGCCGGGCTGTCCAATAACTACGTAGAAGTTATAGGAGCGACCGGTAGACGGCAGCTTTAAACTTCCATAATAAAAATCTTTCCCGACAGTCTGTGCATTAACGAATAACATAACCCGTAGTGAAAAACTAACTTTATGAAAAATCTCATTTCCCAAGGACCCAGCCGTGTGCGCGAACAGCCATTAACTATTTCCACATAGAGTCGCCGGTCTGAACTCGAGCCGAGCACAGGTTGTGGGATACGAGATGGTAAATCTAACAGGTAGAAATGAAGGTTCACGGTCGACTGCCGCCTACTTCTTGGCACCGTGAGAAGTACACTTCAGTTTTCAAAGTGGCCCGTGGCATACGAATGGAGGTGGCCCCCCGACCTCGATTAAAGCCGACATATCTTTTTCGCGAACGACAAAACCGAGACATTCCATTCGTCTTAGCGATCAGTAAAAACTGACTACTATATATATACATATATATGTCAGTATATTACATACATATATATAATCCTGTAAATCGATATCATGTGGAAGAGTCGGCGATCAATTACTACATTTCAAGATCACATTAAAAAAAAAAGAGACATACATAAGTACCCTTTTAGTAGTCGATAAGCACGTTGGAATTTACACGAGAAAGCGTTCTGTAGGTAAAACTGAAAAAGTCAAGAATAACAAAATTTTCCTATACCAATTTCACTCCACTCGTCGTTATTCGGATAAATCGCTGATAAATTAGCAGGAAAAAAAAAAAAAAGAATTTGCTCAAAGAAAAATCTTTCCATAGATATACGCAAGAAAATTAAAATGAAAGAGATGGTGGATCCTCTTTTCACGTGGACTGATTAAAAATAAATCGATTCGGAGGGAGGTCCCGCGATCTAAAAATAGGTACACGTAAAAGAACCAACCGGCGTAGACCCGACATAACCTCTAAAACTTTATTTCGTCCTCGTGCGTTCCGCGCTCGTTGAGACTAAAATGCCAGAGAGGAGCCGTAGGAGGCAAATACGCGGAAGACAAAGTATAACAGAGCGGAGTGCAGAGTGTAATTCCTTGTATTGAGGAATGACGAAGAAATACTCGTATACGCGGGTTGTGCCGAGTGAGCCTGTAGTGAAACGATGACTCACGAGGGTCCGAGTAACACACAATGACGCCAAAAAGTAAGGCAGAAAAACTAGCCGACCGAGCCCGACGTTAGCCGAAGACACACGAAGGAAAAGAAGGTTAAGCGGGCTCCTACTACTGTACGCGCGTATACGTCGCTTGTGAATCGAGCCTCAGAGAGCGTGACGTCACGCGACAAAAATTCCTGTCCGTCGGCTTCGTCCAGACGCAACTGAATTGATCCGACGGAATAAAATGCAAGACCCTAAAAACCCCTTAACGGTCGTCGCGGGTTAAACGATAAAATGGCGACTTTCGTGTAATTACGAAAAAATGTCGATGCACGTGGAATCGTCGACGAATGAGTCACGCGAAATACCACTGGAGCTTAGCAATGTGTACTGTGAACAAGGCTTTACGAATTCGTAGCTACAGTCGCATTGCTCGGAGATCATCAGACTGAATCATCGAGACGGCAAGTAAAATGGCGATCGGCTGATTGGTACGTAAGGCTTTTCATGGCGTTTGAATGCCTTTTTTTTCTTATTGTTCTATAAAAATATTATTCATCGCGATTACGAGATACGCGATCGTCTTATTGGTAAGTCTTGAAAAGCCCGGGAATTTTTGAATTTCTTAACGCAGCATTTATGCGTAACGAACGAAATACTAGTTCAAGGGTCATATACTGCTGGGTGGTTCGTGTTGTGATTGAAGTAAATTCAAACGGTGTGAAGTTGTCGCGAGTGATTCGTATGACTATATGAGAAAGAGTTATCAGTGCTGATTTAACCAGCACGAAATCAAACGTCTGCTTGGATGGGCGAGGTCGTACGTACACTGCATTGATTCACCGCAGGGGTTCTCCATTATTGAAGACTCAAGGTAGATGTATCTACGTGGTTGGCAGAGTATTGCCTTTTCCTTTATCTTTTGGCGCAGCAGCCAGAATCGATTTTCGTAAATACAGGCTACTTCCGGCGTGCCGTAAAACGGCGAAGCCGAAAATCTGTGCAGTGATACGATTAGCTGTTATTCAATAAAACGACAAAATTCAAAGAGTAGTCATGTACTCTTATAAATAAATAATGACCGTGTTCGTTGATCTATATTTAACGAAGTAATATTTAACGAAAATTCAAATGAACCCTAATCCGTCGACAATTGCGTAACGCGACCGCGCATACGACTCTGCGGATTATGCGAATGCAGAACGAGTGTCGGGGACTCGTATAAAGAGCAAAAGTAATTCAAGGGTATCGGGTTCTATCGCCAGGTCTACTGGGGACAGGAATTTCCGCTTTCATTTATACACTTCCGGTACGTGCATTCAGGCCGAGCAGATGCGCCGAACAGATTCGAAGAAAAATTGTTGACAATCCTAATTCTAGGCAATTGATCAACTAGATTTACTTACATCTTACTAGATTTAAAAAAAAAATCCTATTTTCGCTTAAATACCAAAAGTAAAAAAAGAATTCATTTCTCTGAGTGAAATTGAAAATAACCAGAGAGCCGAAACTCGTTGCCGAACCGGAAATGTAAAAAAAAACGGAACTTGGAAAATCCAATGCGATGAGCGAAATTGATAATCCGGTAGCACGTAGAAGGCGTATAAGAAAACCACATGGCAATTTGAAAAAGTAAATTCTCTCTTAGCACGATTCTGGGACGTCCATGGTCTGAAGTTGTTGAATCGAAAACGTGAAGCGAATTACTTTTGGCTGCGTGCGCCCGACCGTCCAGCTTAGGTACGATAAGTCGAAAACGTGAGGCTAATGTCAATTCCAAGTAAGCCAATAAGGTTTCATGGTGACTGAATATGTGAAATATTAAATATTTTTCTGCAGTACGTAAAGGGTATTGAAAAGCAGTGAATAAAAGCAGAGTCCAGCCGCGTACGAATGTCCCTTATGTGACAGGTATAAATATCTATACTGTGTTTTAGCTAACTAAAGCATACAATGGACGACCGAGAGACGTTATTCGTCATTATATTTAATGCAAACCTGCCAATGGAATATTCCTCGCGTCTTGCGTTAAGTAAATAGGAACGAATTATCGCGCTCGGGTTCCTACATGTGAATTTTACGACGTTATATCGTTATACGGGTACTTGAGCGAAATAGGGTAAACTTGGGGTAACTGCGAAAGAGGGAGGAAAGCACAGAGGTTAAGAATCTAATAGGAAGAGTGAAAAACGACCAAATAAAATATTCAATCGCGTCGCAGTAGGTTAAATTTTATAGCCGCTCTACTAGGTGAAAGTGGGATTTTAATTTTACGAGTGTCTACCTCACTTTTTATTAACGAGTGCAAATCAACGTTCAAGAAATCCGGGCGAGTCTACAGAGAAAATTGTCTCTTTGGAATATCGATCGATAAGCAGTACATCCCGGGAGAAGTGTGGAACTTCCGTTTTTTCCCCGAGTTATCAATATCCGCTGAGATTTGAGATTCACGAGGTGTGTCGAAATGTTAGTAAATTATTATCAGCCATTTCTATTCATCTTGGCCTTTATCGGGTCATATTTCACGCGGGGACAGATAAAGACAACCGGTCGCCTATTTGCGTAGCGGCGCCTTCGCCGCTTCCTTCCGTTGACGCCGTGAGAATTCGGAGACGCGACACGAGACCTTAGGAATGTGCGCAGTTGCGCGAGAGATTGTCGCTGGCCCGATATACACGTAACGATGACGATCCTGAGGAATTCACGTTGCCATAAGATAAAAGAACTAAATGAAGTAACATGGTGGCGGACGGCGGTTGGAAAGGCCAGTAAAATTTGGCGCATGCACGGTTTCAAGATGGCCGCCGTCCGTATCTTGGTAGGTGAGCGTAGGAAATTTTCCACGGACCGCAAACCCGTGCTTGGAAACTGGATCGAAGGGTCGGGCGGACAGGCCAAGTTAAAAAGTTATTTTAGATGCGGTCACGTGTACCAATTTAAGAGTGTGGCATCATCGTTTTTTATTTTTTTTTTTAAATAAGTTACTAATTTGAATTTGCAACCCGATCACAGTCACTGCTTTGACTTCCTATCACGCCCTACTGCCAGTCTCTATCAAGCTTCATTGCGAATTCACAAGCATTGAGAGCAACTTTTATCACAATTACGGAATAACGACTGCAGTATATTGCGAAGTTAACGTAACACTTCTCGCTTTGAGCTAAGAATATCTGTCAAATATAAAAACCGTTAAGATCGGGTAATCCGTAAAAGTCGACGTCCTTTGAGGTTATGAATCAGAGTCGTGATCGTATACTCGAGAACGCATGTACCGAAGAGCCGCCACGTTATTCGTTGCTAGACGAGAGAGCCAAGACAATAGTGAGAAAAGAAATTTCTCGTCAAGGTCTACCAGCCATTCTAGCTGCGTGCACGATCCATGAGAATAAGCTGATCGCGCCGGCAATGCAGATCCGGCGTTTTTGCGTCGCAGTGTGCCACAGATCGATAGCCGGTCGGTTCCCGAGGGATTATCGAAATCGTAAAGTAAAAAAAGAGCTGAATCAATTAAAGACAAAGAAATACGACTTATCGATGCGATGCAGTAGGAACGAGAAAACAGATATAGAGACAGAGACGCAGTGAGAATACATACTTGGATACGAAGTTTCGGCAACGGTCGTTAAAGAACATACAAGGATATATATATCGTATAAAGACGTTTCTTCACCTACCTATTTTAAAAGTCTTTTGTACAATAAATATAAATAAATACACGCAGCTGGGATACTCGCGGGGGGCTGACTAGATTCAGTCTGTTATTTACGGGGGTACGGAACGAGTACGGATACTCTCCGAGAAACTACAGTCGGTCTTTTTCAGTCACACGTTACACCACACATCCCTCAGTGACCACTCCCGCACAGCGACTGAGCCGGCAACGCTGTTCATGGTGGGGACTCGGATAGGTTCGTGCTAGGGTTCGGCCAAGTTCGCCGATCGTTCGGGAGAAGTCGGGAACGCTCGCTTCCAGCCGAAGTATTGATCGACTCTGGTAATGGCGGCTGTGAGCCTGGGTGGGGCAGGCACACGGGCGTCCCGGGACAAGGTATCACGCTGCTGCTGCTGGTACTCCGCAGCCTCGTAGTCGTTTTATAATCCTAATTCTTTTTATTTATTACACCGTGTACCATCCCGAGTACAAGGCAACGGCATACGCAAATTGAACTGACGGCAGTTAAAAGAAAAATTATTACAGCCATTAGCCTAACCTACAATTATTTCTTCCAGATCAAAATGACACTCGAGGATCGGATAACGCCTATTGTTTTATACGCGTCCATATAAAACAGTACACTCTGCCTATCTTAACCGAGAGCTCATTCAAAGTCTGATAATACAGAACTCATTTTTAATTGAGCGACTACAGCGAATAACTGGATCCTTTGTACGGGTGATATCGCTTATCAAATCAATTAATCAAATTGGTTCACCATCTACGCTTCTGTTACCTTGCGTCCGTTACTCAACACAAGCAACACGCTCAGAGACCAGTCCCGGTAAGGCGTTAGAGCCTACGCACATTTATTTCCGCGATTTTACCTCACGGCTAACCTACGTGAATACTAAATCCAATCACTTGGCGACTATAAACGATCAAAGCTAAGTTGACCGGATTCGAACTAGACAATTATACTTATCCTTCCCTCTCACCTTTAATATACACCTCGTTCACCCTGTATTGCGTAAGTAACAAATCTCAACGTTGATCAGCATTTCAAAACTTCAAAAAAAAAAGTAACAGTGGGTAAGGTGGCAAGATTTGGAAGGAATTAACGTGTGGCCGACCAGACAAAGTGACGTCATAGCTGTTATCAAGATAAGTCTGTCCTGGAGAAGATACCCGACGGGCGACGATACAAGTAAAACGTCCGGCGTTATATTAAGAATTGGATAGGACCTAGAGAATCACAAATGACCGTAAGTATTTCGAAAGTTGGTTATATTTCAAGTGGTTAATTAAGTCAGGAGTATCTCTACGTCACGTGAAGAATCACTATTGTCCTATGACCAATGGGAAATATGTCCAATCGCATTACAGTCGCCCAGCTGGATTAAAATAACCAGGAAAAATTACGAGGCCACGAGGTTCGACCAAAGTCTCGGAAAATGAAAATGGACCAGTGGATAAGTTTCTTTTCACAGGAGACCATGTCGGCGGAAGTGCGCAATGTACGTGAAGAAGGTTGAAGGGAATGACAAAAGTTATTTAAGAGGTACATAAACTTCGAGGTAGAAGTTTCATATATATTATTTTTATAAATGGCATGTATATATACTTCAACAGTATATACATATATACACATACACTTCAAAGAGTTACCACTGGCGGATGATTATTAGGATAATGCAAGTGCAATGGCTTGATGCACTTCCAGTTAAGAGTGCACTTGGTAGGTTGAAGAAGAAAATAAAGGGAGGCCCTTGAGGGAATAAAGAGGTCCGAGGATCGAACAGAGGAAAGTACTGCGTGTCCCCATTGAGTTGAGTTTGTTTGGCAATGAGAAAGGGAGCGAATTGTCAAAGTAATTTTAAAAATGGACACGATCGATCAAAAGGCGCGAATATTTGAATTAGTAGCATGGCTTTAGGCGAGTTAGCCGAGCTTGTCCTACGTGAGTACCACTTTGTTGCAGATGAACTTTTTTCTGTTAGACAAAAAAAAATATAAAAACTTGATAAATTGAAAGGGCGTGGACACTGAGGGACCGAAAAACAGTTACCAGATAAATTGGCAAGAACGAGCTGGCAGTAACGTAACAAGAAATCACGTTTACCAAAGCATTGACGATACCATCAAAGCACGAGTAATATCCTTTGAGGGTCTTTTAGTGTATACGCAGGATATTTTTTTACCATTTACTCGTCGTCCTCCCCTTTTCGATTCAGAAGACGCCAATGCCAGATCGAAGAAATTTTCAGGGGGTTCAGGATTCTCTCTTTCCGTCTCTAACGAGCACGAGGGCTTTCTCAAAACCCTTCAGACCTTCAAATTGAACTGGATTTCCCAAGATTGATTTATCTGGACGTGAATTAGAAACTTTTGAAATTTTACGAACCACCAAGTATTTTCAGTATTAGTGCCAGAGGGACAATTTCATCTATTTAACGACAGTGTCAATTGAAAAATAATATATACGTATAAAAATAAGATAAAAATAGTATACACGTATTTGCATACATACATGAATATTTAAATACGTGACAACAATCAAGCGGCAATAATACATTAGAGAACAATGTGAAGTCAAACCTGTCAAATGACATACGGACCAGACATAAGATTTTCCAAAAAAATTCTCTTGACAATGAAATCCAAATGGAAAATCAAATGAAAAACAGTACCAGAGTCTTGTTTACGCAAGATACCCAAAACGTTGGACACATTAAGATTTTTTTCCCCATGAAAAAATATTGAAGAAATCGATCAGGCGCACACGTGGTGTCTCTACGTGACATTTCAAGCGGTTCGGTCGGCTTTGCCAGCCAGTCTAGTGTAATGGCCAAAGTGTTCTCGTTGAGCGGCCCACGCAGTCTCGACATTCATCTACGGACCTGAGCTCTCATTGAACCTCAACCAAGGGTCCTCAGGAACTTCTTTCCCATAAATATTTCCGGACTCTCTTGGGTCTGAGGTTGAGAAACGTCTAACAAAAAAGAAGAAAAAAACCCCCAGTGAGGACACCAAGCATCAGTCTACAGCAAGCGCTGCTTCTCATAGAATCTGCGCAGTTAGGGCAGCTGTGCCTTTAGAACGAAGGTGTAAAGAATTCGAGCGGGTCGATGGATGCTGACAGTCATCCAGGTCATGGGAGGTACACGTCCACTCTGAACATGGACACTGATAATCATCCGACTTGAGGATATCAAATGTTGCTGACAAAAGTACCATTAAAAAAAAAAAAAAGCCCGATCCAAAATTTCGAAATTCAAATTACATCAACCATTCAACATTCACTATACCCATATGCCTCTTACTACTTTCGAGGTGAGAAGGACCGAAATCAAAATCCTATTTATTGGTAATGGCTGTTTTTCAGTGCCCGCAGCCAGCAAGCTCAGCATACGCAGGGTGGGAATTTTTCTAAGTTGAAACAAAGAAAGAAGAGGGTCCGACTAAGCCTACAGGACCTGCCTTATCTCGTGGGATACGCTAATGAGACAAAAGGGGGTTCCTGAAGGACGAGAGAGAGATGTACGGGAGCGAGCGAGAGGCCCTTATGCGGGGATACAATGGCAGGTGAAGGAGTGAGTGAAAAGAAGAATACTGTGGGATACAAGCGAGAGAAGGACAGTTGAGACCAAGGAACAGGATTGAAGTTGGATGAAGGATGGGGGGGGGGGCGTAGGGGGGCTGGCAAGGCTGAAATGAAATATTGATCTGCGGAGGCGCGCGCAACCCCTGCAACCGACCCGCCCGTTTCCACCATTTTTCTCAAGTACTTCCTACCCCGCACATGTCCGAATAAAGTAATCGAATAGCCATCTGGTTTATTGGCGTCTTGGAAGATGGTACAAAAAATTTTTTTTTTTTATTCCTATCAAACCTGTACTCAAAACTACCCATAAAAAAATATCCAAAATACGTTTCCTTTTTGAACGCTATTTTTGTATAGTCCACATAAAAAAAAATCTTCAATGGAATACCACTGTCTATCCCGAATAAAGTATTCAAACCCCCCCACCGCCATTCAATATATCATTCATTTACTATACTTATGAATCAATAATTATCAACCAATATCGTTATCAGGATTTCCATTAAAAATCATTCAAGGCTCCATTTAAGGGACTATGAATAATCTGAGATCATTAACACGGGTCTAAGGGTACTGTGCAATTATAATCCCTGTCTGAAATTTCAACCCCCCCCTACTCCCCAAAGAAAAGCCTCATAATCTCAATGCTAATACAAAATTAATTTCGAATAAAAATATCAAACTAAATTATTGATTAATCTCCGTACAAGCGTCATTAAGAATTTTCACGCCTGATAGACTTTCAGTAAATACACTTTTCTTATTTGATATCAGCTAATTAATACGCCAGCCGAATGTCCCTTCGTCCCTTCTCAATTAAGGAAGGCTTAAGGCAAGTTTCTACGGAGGACTCAGACCAACCGTGAATGTCCGTTCAGATGTGAGCGATATTGTCATCCAAGTATTACCAAAAGCGAAATAGCAAGCCGAGGTTCCTTAATGGCTACGGTCGTTATTAAGCTAGACATGATTATCGGGGCTGAAGGGTCGGTAAAGAAGATCCCGATGAATTTGCATGTTACCATGCGAGCAGAAGGATAACACAAGTATAAACGCTTAATTACGACCGAGTTTTATTTTTCCTAGATTGGCCAGCGTGTTATCGAGCACTTTCTCTCGAAGATCGATTACGCGTTGCAGTACCAGTGCGCGCCGAATTGACCAGCAGACGCGCAATGATAACGACCATGAAAGCGATTAAATATAATTTTTAAATCTAATGCCAAAAAAACAAATTGACCGATAATAATTATCACGATTCAAGTACCTATAATTAATTACAGTAAATTTGACTAACGTCGTTTCTTCGGCACTATTATTTTTTACTAGTTAACACTGACAGGCACCTGGGCAGGAATTCAATTAATCAAAGATCGACCGGACTGATAATCATATAAGAATCAATCAATCAAAATATTCCAGCTAATAGAATTCCATAAATTCGTATAGCATTAATAATCTCCGTATAAGTATACAAGCATACTGCCAGTGTATTACGTAACCGGAAACCCGTTTCTGACAATCTCTCGCATCATCTACAAGATACATCCGAAGACAGAGAGACAGACAAAGACAAAAAAAAAGTATTCCTTTTCTTACGAACCAATCTCCGGTCGTTAAATTCAAATATCCAGCAAGATATCCAAATGTTGAATTTTACCTAAAACAGAAAAAAAAAAAACGGAAATTAATATAGTTCGCTCCAAATCGAATTTCATCAATGACATTTAAATAGAAACCAAAGTCCCTTACACCAGGAACAAAGATCACAATAGAAATGACAGACAGCAAAAAGGTACACGAAGGGATGATATCAAAAATAAGATCCCAATTACTATCAATTACGAATCTCATTAAGTCCCCCTCCCCCTGCGAAATTAAAATAAAAAACATCCTAATTATTAATGTCATTCAAATTCCCCTCGATCCGTCGGTAAAGAAGAAAAACAAGAAATAAAAAAAATCGTAAATAACATTTCCACGTTCCGCCTAGTTACCTAACCACCCGTCAGACTGTCCAACCTCCATTGACAAAAACAATGAGTAAAAAAAAAAACTCCGAGCCCCCCTGACTGTACACTAGGTTAGTAACAACTAGATCAATATTGGTGTCCGTTGGGTTCGCGTGTGTCAGGACGGTGTCGCATGCAGGCCCCACTTCCTGCACCGCGATAACGCACCATATTCCTTTGTAATTTCCATCAAAGAGTCTAAAACCGAAAGAAGCCTAACGAAAAAAAAAAAAAAAAAGACAAAAAAACGAAGCCAAGAGACCGACAATTGGTAGAACTTTCCATAGGGCCAAAGTTCAACGTCCTCGAACCGCGACGACGAGTCGTCACGATTCGCGTGGATACGACGAGTCAATAATTTGATTTGTTTGCGAACACATTAAAACGTACGCAGCGCGTAATCAGCGATGCGCGATCATAGGGCTAACGATGTTACGCAATTATCAAAAGCTCGTTATCAGCGACAACGTTAATTTTCATGAAAAGACGACAGTCTGGTATATAAAATTATCTGTCAGTCGACTGAAAAAAAGAAAAAAAAAAGAAAATACACCTGAATTAATATATCGAGCTACAGCAATTCACGCTCCGCGTAATGCGCGACGCTGTCGATACTATAGAATATTTTTAATTGGCACTAGGTCGTAATACCGGCATTTCCATTCGGCGAGAATGCCACTTGAGTGACTGCAGTCTCCCGTTCGATATTCTATTTCGAGAATCGCGTTGCCGTCGTCCCGAGAGCAGAGAGTCACGTACGAGAGGCGTCTCTCCCGTGTAAAACGTAGGAGGATAAGTTCCTCCGTTAAAATGCGTTCCGAAATTTCCCAGCTTCGTCGAGAATCCGGACGGCGTCGGTTTACGAAGTATAAAAAATTATAATTTCACAAAAAACAAAAATACTGACTCTTCCTCCTCGCCCATTTGCATATGCGCAAGGAGCCGTAACGGTCTAGAATTTGTAAATTCCAATGGCGTCGTGAACAAAGTTACAAGGGTACCGAGACGTTGCTTCAAGTCAGGCAGACAGGACCGAGCAAAAACGGCCGGGGTTGTCAGGAGCTATGGTAGCCAGGGAGGCATATAAATCAATATTGTACAGGGTGTTCCGAAACTACCTGACCCGGTGGGTATGACGGTGTTCGGGAGGCTTCCCTGATCACGAAAATGACCTTCTTTTTGTCCGGAAGGTCATAGTTTTTAAATGGGAGCAGGTCAAAGTTGACCAATCAGAGGGAGGCGTCAAGAGAAACGTAGGCACCTACGAACTCTGAGTTTTCTTCCCTCGCTGTTGTTTCTCGGTAGCTTGTTTCTTGTTTCCAATAGGCATGTCTTCGACTGACGTCATCCTGCCCGAAGCCACCGAGAAACAAAAGCGAGGGAAGAAAACTCAGAGTTCGCAGGTGCCTACGTTTCTCTTGACGCCTCGTTCTGATTGGTCAAGTTTGACCTGCGCCCAGTTAAAAACTAAGAGCTTCCGGACAAAAGGAAGGTCATTTTCGTGATCAGCGAAGCCTCCCGAACACCGCCATACCCACCGGGTCAGGTAGTTTCGGAACACCCTGTATATACGTATATACCGATAAAACAGTCTTTATATACATATATATAGTATCCGTACTAGACCACTGGAGATATAAAGAAAAGGAGAGAAAGAGAGATAATACATTTAACGTCGTACGTATACAAAGAGAGTAATGGATTTTGAATACGTACTCGGTATATCAAATAAGAGTTACGTAACGATAACGAAGTTAACAAAGGATACAAAGGATTAAAAGTAAAATAAATATTCATAGGCGTACGATACACTAAATTGCTTTAAGGATCGATCGTCAATTTACGTTATTGCTCGTTACTTGTGTACTAGACTTTTGAAGGACCCTCTCCCTCCTCTACGTAACCCTGTAATACGGATTGAGGTTATGTTATGTACCAGGCGCTCATGTACGAGACTTCAAGTCGAGACGCTATAGTCTCAACGTTTTTCTTTCCTATTTCGAGGAGGCGTTTCGTCTTCGAGGAATTCTCGTTAGTCCCGGGTGGGGAAGGTTGAAGCCACCGACAGCCGTTGCGACATTGTTTCTTTGTTCCGAGTGTATAAGGGGGTTGAGAACTAACTTTGAAGGCTGGTTTTCATATCCCTCGCTACATAACACTATGGATATGGACGGGGAGCGTTAAAGGACTCGAAAGCTTTGTGCAAGGGCGTACGTGCTACAGGTGGCATTGTAGAAGCGTGTGTACGTATATGTATATATATATATATATATATAGGATACACTTCACTTTATAAGGGTTGTTGGTCGTGTAAATGAAGCTGCTGATGGGTAAAGGGGTCGATTACGTTTATTTTATTTCTTTTTTTTTGCCGGTTCGAACTCATTTCTATCGTACGACGTTCTCGGGAGATTTTGCGTCTGCGCATGCGCACTGCCCGTATACCCTTTGCAGAGCTTCCGCACAGAAGATTTATAGGTTAAACTAGAGAGAGTCTTTACCTGTGTAATTTCCTTGGAGTTTCCGATCTAGAGGAAGATCGTTCTGGGTCAAATGAGTGTCGAGACAATTGAGAAGTGTTTTATGTAAATTGTGATTAAGTTTATAAATTTTTTTTTATCGCGCAATACCACTGACACTTTATCTTGCGTGAGTTCGCGTTAGAGGATACGAAAAATGTGAAAACAGTCTGGTGGAGAAGTAAAAGATGTCGATGATCTCGCGATCGAACAAATATGCAGGGCGTTGGAAAATCTCAGCGTCACAAGGACTGAATTGTCGACTGACAATGATTGAATTGTCGAATGGAAAGACGGATGACTAATCGAAAACACTAAAGTGCAAAGAGATATGAAAATTAGCTGTAACGTGGCTGAAGAGAGTCCAGATGTTGAATCACACGATGCATTGAGAAACACGGATGAATTTTGAGGTTATCGCAGTTCAGTCCCCGTAGCGTCGAGAATCAGCTCGGAGTTAGTACGAAGACTAAAGAATGCTGATATCTCGAAGGCCAACAGTCAGCGAACAGTGCGGAGACGTTACTTGATTCACATTTACCCTGAGGGGGTTGCGAGTTATTATTATTCTCCACCACCTGTCACTTCGCGCACAACCCAAGAGGCACGATACTCCGTAGAAGCGTTAACGTACGTTTCGGTGTCCGCCTGGCGGCAGAAATGTGAAGCTAATTTGAAAGGGATTCAAAACCCACCGATCAACGTTTCGAAATACATCTTGAAGTACGCAGTACATTTTTGGATACTAGAAGTAGTATCGTGTAAGATACTAAAAATTGAAGCGGTAAATTTTAACGTTATATTTCTTTTTTCTATTTACTCGGCATAGTCCTACACGAGTCTTGACTGAATCTTTTTTTCTTTTCAGCACAGTTCGCGCGACTACTACACGGAAAGTCTCTCTTTTTTTCTATTGAAAAAAGGTGTACGCCACATAGTCGTAGCAGCATGTGGCGCATAGGTACATAAACGTTAGGTATGGCTTAGTGCGTCACCAGCTTGGAATAGCTTCTGATGTCAAGCTCACTAACTACTAACACACAGAGTCGACATGTTCGTTCTGAAAATGTTCACACGCGCACGGGTTCGCAATGGCACGTGTTCTGTAATTTGATTGAAAAAGGTAGACAAAGTTAAAATAAAAAGATTCACGAATACCTCGAAAAGGTAGGAAATTATTGCAACTCGAAGAAAAAAAAACCAATCCAAAGTACAGCACGGTAATTATTTTAAGCCAGACTTCAATTACAATTCTAAAATACATTTTAACAATTTTAATCACCGACTTCGGTGCTTACGTGATATCCAGAAATGGCTGATATCAAAAGACAAACATATAAATTACCCCTGTACCCTACGACGTAGACTGTCAACCTAAGAGTTTCCATATTTCAGATTAAACTGGTAAACATTCCGTTCGATCGTGGGTCGTCGTATCGAATAAACTTAACCGACAAGAAATTATATTACATAAAGATAGAGATACGTAATGACGGATGTTAAAAAAAAAATATGATTCGTCAACAACACTCAGCGAGAATAATCCACTGGGAAGACACTGTAGTGGTTTTTTGCAAATTTGTCTTTCCTGCCCAAGCCGCCGTCAAAAGGGGAGGGAGAAAACTTTAAACCTTCATGAAAATCGAGCATCCCAGGAGAGAGTATAGTAACACGTTCATGTACGTCCAATGACGTGTTCCGTCTGAGTTTCACGACGGTAGCAGGCTCTGACTCACAAGCCAATTGAGAAACAGAAGCAAATGGTATAGTCGAAAATAGACGGATATGAGTAAAAATGAAAATCGTTAAAGGGAAGTATATAGAGAAATTATGCAAAAAAAAAAGAAAAAGAATTTGCTACCTAAAAAAATATTTTCTCGCCCAGAACAAGTCGATTACTTCAAACGCACGTTACAGTGTAGTATATGCTGCAGTCCCCTTGTACAATAAAAATGAGCTGTTACGAGTCTTAAATTCTGAATGGGTCTAATTTGCAAATTTTTTTTCTTTCTTCTTTTTCTACCAGCGTACGCAGAATCGCGCCGGAACAGCGAGACAATAAA